CTGTTGGGATGTTTCTGTAATTTTTGGAACTTCTAAAGTGATTTTTCTGTAATTTTTTGAATCTGTTGGGATGTTTATGCAATTCTGGAACTTCTGGATGATATTTCTGTAAGTTACTAGAATTTTTGGGATGATTCTGCAATTTTCTGGATCTTCTGAGGATGTTTATGTGATTCTAGAACTTCTGGGGGTTAATTCTACAATTTTAAAATTCTGGCAGTATATCTTCAGTCTTCTCCTTATTTATCGTGCCTATAGGCTAAAACCCTAAGCGCTAAGCTCAGCGACGGCGCAAGAAGAGAAGGACAACGGCGATGATAATGGCACCAACAATGATGGATTGACGATGAAAAGACGCAAGTGGCAACGATGCAGTCGAATACAACGAGTGCTATGGGGAACAACTTTGAATCTGATTTTTTTTTCCTAGAACGAGAACGATGAACAGTAACGATTTTTTTTTTTTTTGGGTGATTAACTAGGTTGTGCTCCGTTGCAACGAGATAAACAGTGAACAGAACAATTGCGTGAACAGTAAATAGTAACTTTTTTTTTTTTTTTCTGTTACACAGAATTTTGATTTTTGGATTTTTTTTTTTTTAAACTAGACAGTGCCAATGAATAGTGCGAACAACGTGTGAACAGTGATTTCAGCGAACGGTTTTTTTTTCTCGATGAACAGTGTTACTGAGATTTTTGTGATTTGTACGAATTGAAGTTGAGTTCTGATACCAAATTGATGTAGATCATATTAGAGAAGAATTGAGGATGAGAAGAGAAGAAGAAAATGATGAGAAAAGAAGAAGGGGATGAGCATAAGGAGAGAATTTTAGGAAGAAAATTCAATATCAATAATCAAGTCTACCAAAACAAATACCATATTCCCTATATATATAGGGATAACACAAATCCTAAAAGAACTCTAAAAGAAATAAATAGTTATAATGATAACTAAACCCTTGAAAAACAATATGACAAATAACTCCTAATCCCTACGTCTACGCCTACTGTAACGAAATATAATCCGATTCCTATCACCCCTCTTTTTTTTTCTTTCTTTTTCCTTTTATTCTTGTATATTATTATTATTTGCTAAATTGGTATATTAACAATATGCCTTGTTTGTTAAATAACTGTAATTAATTTTATGGTATATACTTTGTTTGTTAAATATATGAAATTAAGTATTTATGTGTGTAAAAATTATTTATGCATTGATTTTAATTGTTTATACATGAAAACATATGTATTATGAATCTTTAACATTATGTAAAAATGTGTTTGCTTGATAAAAATTAAATGCTTGAAACTAGTTGAAGTGATTTTGGCCCTGTGTCAAGCCTTTTTTTTCCTCCAACTTGATATTATCTTGTATAAATGGATGTTAACCTAATAAACATGCTCAAGTAATCAATTATAAAGCTTATCTTTAAAAATAAATAGATTGTATTTGTGTTTCCACATGTTTCTATATGTTTTTGATTGGTCCGAAATGGTACTTCGAAACGATATTTTGATTCTTAATTGAGACCCAAATCTGTTAGATTGAACCTCCAAAACTGTGTGTAGTAATCTCTCAATCTATGCTCATACAATTTATTAGAGTTAGCAGCTGTACCAATCTTACAAATGACAAGAACTTGTGAACAGAATTTACATGAACAGATGGGACAATTCAATTCCAACCTCAACCTCTTATGACCTTGAGGTTTCTTTAAGTGATACTTTCAGACACCAGTCATAACCTCCTTATTCAATAATCTGTTGTCTTCCAAATTCCTTTCATGGCTCCATGTACGCGACATTGAGAGGTTAGTAAGGGCGCTAAGAGATTCCTCTGCTTTCTTACTTTCAAGGACGACCGTCCTTGTGTGCTGCCTTATAACCCCATTCACTGCCTTCAGATAGTTGCTTGAATCATGGTCTCTAAGGATTGTACCTTTAGAGCCGTATCATGCTCGTGTCCGACTAAGTTACAACATTATATCATTACATTTTTTAATAAAAACAAAAGTTACAAAACAAAGAATTCTATCATTGAGAGCATTGAATGTACAAAATGGTGGACTTGATATCTAACCTAATAAAAAAGAATCAAAACGAAAATTACAATATAAGGTCCATCAATTCCAAATACCTTTCTAATAATGCAGTAGCAACAAAAAGGAATATAGGACTGGTTGGAGGGGTAGGGGTCCTCACAAGCACCACCCCCACCCCCCCCCCCCCCCCAAAAAAAAAAAAAAATCTAACACCACAAACAAACAAATAAATAATAAGGGGGAGGTATAAAATGAAACCAGGAAAAGTAGTCCTAAACCATCTATTTCGGGCAAAAAGATGAAGTGATTGCCCAAGAAATGGCTGTACATTATTAAGAACTGCCTTCCTTATGTAGTAAGTAATTAATATTCAACTATGAAATAAAACCATTCGATGGTCAGCAAATACTATGCTGTCACTCCACCTGAAAAAAAAAGACAAAAGACAATTGCTAGCCTTACTATTGAAAACAGGAAAAAATGTAGTAATAGATTTATATTTGTGCGTGTATATTTGAATTTATGTTTTGTTTAAAATGGAGCGTGCTTGTGATACAAGATAAGTTACGAGATACTACACATTTTTTTTTAAGAACAACATTCATTGCGATATGCAGTTTAACAACCTAGCTGATACGTAATAGATCCACTTATGGTATTAAAGATGCATTGCGTTATGGAAATGACTCCTTTTCAAATAGGGGTAGGTAGAATATCATTAAATTACATCTTGAATAATCCAGTTTAGGATTCTTGGGAACTTAATGACCTTTTCTTATCTAGACTATTCAAGGGGTTACTGATCGGATGATCTGCCAATTTTCCGCTTAATTGGAGAGGAGACGTATCCATATATTGTAATAGAGTATATCTTTTAAACTATACTTAGCTTTTAATTGCCAAATGCTGCAATGAGTGCTTTACCTTGTTGTTTATTATTATCCTTTCCTCAATTTTTTATAAACGATCAGTGTTCGATGCGATCATCCTTAGTGGTTGTTGTACTTTCATCATCTGTGCTTGAGCAGCCATCGGGATAGGTCTTAAGAAATTTCTTAACAACAATCGAATTTGTGTTCTCATTTTTATGATATATATTGTGCATCTTTTACTTTATATTCAACTAATCCTGACTCCATATTCTTTTGTTCCACAGCACCATCGAAGTAACAAAAAGTGCTTTGTATGCAACGAGGAAACCCCCTGGCATATTCAACACTGCTTTTGAGATACACAAAAAGATGGCTGTTGAGAAAAAATTGATGAGTCTGGCATATTCTTATGTTTGTTCACAAGTAAGTTTTCTTCTTATATGAGCTTGTTTATTTTTTGTCTTTATTGACAGAGGTGTCAATTGTGTCGTGTTCGTGTCATTGTTATTCGTGTTGTGTTCGTGTCAAGACCCACGAAAAAAAAAATCTATTTAGTGTATTTTGATTATTAAACATTAGTCTAGGCTACTTATTATGCGTATTTAATAATCGTGTCAATTTTATAATCGTTTGTGTCGGGTTCGTATCAACAGGTCAGAGTTGACACCCTTATTTATAGATATTAGTTTCACAATTAACATGATGTACATAATTTCAGTGGTTTAATTATGATTGCATGCAATTCTAATTGGATTTTGGATTATTGACAGAATCATGTGGCTTGTCCCTTAAAACTTTCTGTCCACTAGTACATTCGGTTGGCGTTTAAACTCTTTGTTAACTATTATATTGAATGGCCACGCTTGATTTCATCCTTGTTCCTCATTTGATAAAGAATTTATTGCACTAGTTCCTCTATTTTCATACCAAATTTTCTCCAGGGCAGGCTGGCTCAAAACTCTTTACATAAAAGAACAGCAATCAAGTTCATTCTCTGTGATCTAATCTGGACATCAGGTAATATCTTCAATGGTCTCAGTTTTTCCATTTTAATTTTGCACACATGCTTCACCTAGAGGCCTTAATTTTTTGTCAGTTGTCAAGCGTTCAGTGGAATGGTTGATGCTTTATTGTTAAGTTGGGCTTGGTGGTGGTTGATGCTGTTTATGCTAAGGATCGGGACTTGAGTCCATAATGGTTGGTAAATGGTACAACTCTTTTACCCGATTCAATCCTACCCAAATTTGTTATATGCGGTTAGACCGAACCTCCAAAACAATGTGTAGTAATCTCTCAATCTATGATCTTACAATTTATTAGACTTAGCAGCTGTACCAATCTTACAAATGACGAACTTGTGAACAGATGGGACAATTCAATTCCAACCTCAATCTCTTATGGCCTTGAGGTTTTTTTAAGTGATACTTTCAAACACCAGTCATAACCTCCTTATTCAATAATCTGTTGTCTTCCAAATTCCTTTCATGGCTCCATGCATGCGGAGATTGAGAGGTTAGTAATGGCCACAAGTGATTCCTTTGCTTTCTTACTTTCCGGACGACCATCCTTGTGTGCTGCCTTATAACTCCATTTACTGCCTTCAGATAGTTGCTTGAATCATGGTCCCTAAGGATTGTACCTTCAGAGCCGTACGCTGTGGGATCACTCAGAGTTTCTAGTGGGTGGGGAGTATTTAGAAAGGCCATAAGCGCTCTGCTGGCTGCACGATGGGTAGTTTCCAAGGCATAGAGGGCACTCCCTGGGGGGAGTAAGGGGTGTGGTGGAGATGACTTCTCATCAGGTTGGAGAATAAAGATGTTTCCCACCGGAGAGTACAGCAATTTCTGCACAAACAGTGGCATGCAGTTCCAAAGAGTTAGACTGCTGAGCGAAACTAATTTTCGTATTCTAAGATGGGACATTCAGAATCTAAAGTTTTTCTATGATCTGTATGTAATTAGCTGGGCTGCTGTTTAATGTGCACTGTTCTTTGCATGCGCTCCTTTAAGGGATCATGATTTAAACCTACAAATTTGGTACTGTTATGTCACAGGGAACGTAAGCTGTTTGATTTGGCATCAAAAGCTCAATGATGATCCTGAAAGTCAGATATAAATAGAGTAGCCAAGAGGACACTTACATTCTTATTTAGACAAGGGTGGGTTCGGAAGGAACTCCATTGCTTGAGGAGTCGGGCCACTTGGTTGGGGTAGTTGCAGGAGAAGGCTCTTGGGACAATGTCTCTATGCATCATCACAGAATGAACATGGTTCTCGTCTAATCCCAACTCATCTAGGATCTTTTTGCCACCACAGAACACAAATGGTGATCCAAACGTTACAACTGGTCGAAGAACTGATGGCTTGATAACCTTCCTTGTCAATAGCATCAAGGTGACTAAAAGAGAGAGACTACCACCAAGGGAATGACCAGTGAATTGAAGCTTTGCTCTATCCCCGTATCTCTTTAAGTGCTCCATGATTTCTGGCATGAATTGCTCGTAGATTCCTTTGGCAGCTTCATAAATTCCTCTGTGGACTAGAGCTTCTGTTCCCTGCAACCAAGTGGAATATATTCTCAGTGGTTCTGGCTTTTCTTTCCCTCACATTTTTTTGTTGTCTAACGAGTGAGATTATCAGAGAATCAGTTGCACTTGTGCTCACCTCAAATTTGGTGGGTTCAAAGAAGAGATTCGCGTGCCATGATGCCACTGAGTCCGATCCCTACAAATAATATTATCAGCATATAAATCCTTTGATCACTCTCTTGCATCAGAGATCTATTGCAAAGCAAAAATCATGTGATTGTATTTTTTTCCTGAAGGTAAAATCATGTGACCACCAGTCATTGTTATCCATTCTAGAGGTGTGAAGTTTTTAATTCATCGTATTGATTGCATAATTCAATAAGGAAGATTTTCATTTAGGGGTATTGATGTGGGAGATGCATGAATAATTTATATGCAAGTGTTGCAAGTACCTGGATGATGAAGCAGCGGGTGTATATGCTCGAATCATCACAGACAAACCATTCACAAGGCGATGATTTAAGTGATTGAAGGTCCCTTGCTGCCTCCTGCTTCTGTTCTTCGCCTGCAGCGACCACAGCCGTCATTGCTGATGCTGCCACATATGCAGCCACCTCCGAGTTGTACACTCGTGGGGATGAGCTCCCTTGTTCCACTTGGGGGTGGTCTTCTTCGCCATGTAAAGCCACATCGTCCCCCTCCTGCTGAGGCTCAGAGCCAAGGGATAAAAGGCCCTTAGCACGAGATTGGACATAAGATGCAGCAGAAGCAGCTATCTCATAAGCAACAGATGGACGGATCAGATGTTTGTGCTTGGAGTTTCCTTCTTCCTCCGTGTTGGATTCATTAGCTTTCAGGGAAGGCACAGGTACGTGAGTAGAATCCTGATTGAATTTGGCTTTGATTGTTGCTGCCTCTGCTTTCTTCTCCAAAGAAGATGTTACAAAGTCTAGACCATAATGTCTTCTCAGATCCTTGGCCTACATATTAATGGGATGAAGTTGGTCACTGGACTTGCTCAAAAATAGAGTGCTTTGACAAGGTATTATTCTCACCATCTGCCTACAAGGACAACAAATTGCTTGTATGCTTGCATGTGCAAATGAAATTTTTTTTGTAACCCTCCATCTATTTGGCTAGTCGACGTTTTTATTATCATGAGAGATCCGACCCCTAGAACTGGAAGTGGGTCATGACTCATGAACCTAGTTACCATGCTGCCACACCCCAACCTAACTATTTCAGGTGGAACACACCAATACCATTCACATATGGAAGATTATGGCAACTTGGCCACCTAAAATAAAGCACCCAGCCCTACCCTCTGGCTTCTGGCTGCCTCAACCTCAATGAGGCAGGCTAAGCAGTTTTTTTTTCTCCTTTTTTATTTAAGAGAAGGAAGAGAGAGAGAGAGAGAGGGGGGGGGGGGGGGGGCTGAGTTTCCTAAGCCCCGCCATCCCATATATTTTAGAGAACCATCTATATTTTGTAATTCCTCTAATGATCAAAATAACCTACTCCTAGATGCTCAGTTTAAAGTTTATTAGCTGCCAAGGTAATTCCGGCTTTTTCCATGCTCCGTAACAATCATCGCTTTAGATCTATGGTTTTTTGGAGTCAGAGAACATATAAAATCGTTGGAACCGTCTTCAATGCTCAACACAAAAATAAAGAACAAGATTGAGAATACACTTGGTTCTGATCGCTCAACAAAGTTGGTGGGTTCCTTGAAGGGTCAATTATTATATTACCCTTTTTTGACCTTGTCTTTTATTTCTTAGGTTGAGCTTCGGAAAAAAAAATCCATGCAACCCTTGAACAAGGTATGATGCAGCAATCAAAACATACCTCGATCTCTGGGATGACATAAGCCATGTTGCAGAGGAATGCTAATTGAGAGAAAAGCTTAGTATCAGACCAAGAGACACGACTCAACAACCTTGAGAATGTTTCACGATCAAGGCTCATCTTGCCTTCCTCTTCATCATCACTGTAGTCCACTTCACAACCGTCTACATCTCCATCACACTCCTCGTTGCCTTCTCCATGAGCATCAATGTTATCTTCCTGTTGTCTTTGTCTCCAATGACTTCGAATTTGCATGAGTCTTTCAATCCAGTTTGCTCTCTTCTTCTCCATCTCCATCGCTTCTTCGTCGCTCTCCACTGCTTTTTCCACAATGTTCATTTCTTCACGTGTATCAGGATCAAATAAAAATGATCGAAGAGAGTTGGGGATAATAGAACCCGAAAACTGGAAATTGAAGATCCCCATGGAACGGCTGGTTTTGAGTTTCGGTTCCGTTGTTGAGGCATGAATAGGATTGATAGAATAGCAGAGGTGGTTGTCGGAATGTGACCTCCGGATCCTGGCTTGCTCACCGATATCTTTGCCGGAAAATGACCGGCGAAGCCTGTCATGTTCTTGCAATACTTCTTTGGTGGGTGTTGTCATTGGGGAGCTGCTAATAGACAGTGAATTGCATGCCATGTTTACAACTCTAGATAACCTGCATAGAAGTACCCAAATTAATGACACACTCTCTCTCTCCAGGTAAGGAGGAGTATAGCTGTACAGGTTGGTAGAGTTGTTTTGAAACCAAAACAACATAAACCGAGGGATCTTATAAGGAAAACAAAGGTGCCAGAAAGTCCACCTTGTTTACAACGTGAACAGGAAGATGATACCGTTTTCCAAACGTAACATATGTGCAATAATTAGATGACTAAATTGTCCATGCACCTAGTATTTGTATATTTTTCTTCTAATGTGGCATGTTTTCATTGGTTGATGTTTGTGAAAGATATGTGGATTGCCGCACCAGATGTTAATCTCCTGCAGACCCAACCATTTCTATATAACGATAATAACGAACACAACACATGACTCACATGTGGGCCTCTCATATCCATGTCCAAGAGTAGTGCGACAAGTTGGTCCTTGTGCCGAAGGGCATCCAACCGAGGATACTATTCATCTGTAAAATCAACGAAAGGTCCGACTCCAGATTGGTTCATACAAGCTCCAGATCAACTAATACGGTATTGACAAGAGCGGGTTCGGGTCTCCTCCACTTTTTACAAGAATTAGAATATTCATCAATTCTGTTTTAAATGATCAAGATCTATATACATCAGTAAATTCAGTTGATTTAAAAAAATATGTTCAATCTTTAAAATTTAAAGTCAGATGAATGTGATGATATGTGCAAGTCATAGCTATTTAAAAGAAAATTGCAGGATCCTTCAACTCTTGTGAAACTGGAGGGGACTATAACCCTAACAAGAAGAGCAATGTTATTGGGATTAACGTTTTTATTTTTTGAGTGGATAATGTTAAAAAATTAATCATTTGAGAGGCATATTGAAATTTTTTTTATCTTTCAAAGGGCAAAATGAGATTTTCTCTTTATTATATTGACAGTAAACGTTGGAGAAGAGTGCTCACCGTTGGGAAGCAAAAAGTAGAATAATTTTTTTTTTTGTTTACGGTGGATTCAAAAACAAAAATCAGTCTTCGGCTGTAGATTTCAATGGCGAAATTAACCTTACTTGTATCGTTCCAAACTAAGATCTTCTTGCTTGAGCCGCCCGTCCCCCAACTACATGTCAGAAGTAAAAGTACCATACACTGGTTATTCTTACCATAGGACAAAGTCAATTGAACGGATAAATATAATATCACCAGAAAATATGTATTGGAAAAACCCAAGTTTCAGGACTACAATGACAAAGTAACGGTAAAATCAAATCAACAAGGGATTGAGGCGCGGAGGGACAATTGTCGTCTTGAGATTTAAAGAATGTCTTGTTACAATATTTTTAATTATGAAATCATCCTAAACTATGTATACTCGTCCTGAGATGTTATAAGATAAAATTTTGTACACACGTGTTACATATACAAATTGATGCATGTATTATGTGTTTTGAAGGAAGTGTTGGGCATAAATGAGAAAGAAGCGGTTAAGAAATTGTTGGTCATGAATGAGAGAAAGAAAGAAGGGAGATGGGAGGGTGCGAAGTTTCGCCAAATCCTTTATGGGTTAAATTATGTGCTGATTACACAGCATGACTAGCTAGTACTTGAGTTGTGGTCACATATTGGTAGATACATATGCAAATCTAACCAATAAGACCCCACTCTCTTTTTTTTTCTATGTTGAATTTACAGTTTCTTTTAGAGCATGTAAATTAATTTTTTTTTTACCAAATTACTTTTAAATTTCTTGGAATCATCGTTTTATAGTTTAAGTCAATCTTGTTTGAAATCAAAGAAGCTTGGAGACTCTAAAATTCGGAAATTACAATGTAATAACATGAAGGTAATATTCTAGGACACTGGGCTTTGGAGAACCTTGGTTTTGTCATGAAAAGACTTGAAATAGCATAGGAGGAATAAGATAAAAGAATCTACTTTAATGAAACGTAACGTCCTCATCTGCTTAAACTTCTCACTTAGAGCATCTCTAAGGTGTTGTTTGATAGGAGCACTTAACGCTTAAAACAGGATAGGATCCACGGTCAGCGCATTTGATTACAGTCTTAGGTTATTTTTAGGTTGTCTCTCTCAGCCAGTCTGAACCAACTCTCACAATTCTTTAGGAAACTTTCATTTGAAGGATTTTACAATAACCAGCTCACAAACCCTAACCCCCAAATTCCCAATCTTTCAGATCCAAATCAACTCGCAGAGAGAGATGTCACACTTCAAGAATTCCACCACACCAAGCATCACTGACACCACTTTCTCCTTTTGTCCTCAACCTCAATTGTTATTACAACTTGTATCAAAAATAGATTAATAGAAAACTGGTTGTTGGAGAAAAGGGGTGAGTTTTGCATTCAAGTTGTTTGGCTTTTGGTCCCAAAGAAATTTCATTCCATCAAAATGCAAGGAACTTGATTACAACAATATCTTTATTCTACAACCGATTAATCAAATTGGAATTGATCCCATATGCATCGGGCAACTACCATTTTTTGAGTCATCAATTAAACTTGAATTTATTTCATTATCATTTTTGGGTAATTAAAAATATGATGTGATAATAGTGGTTACAAAGTGAAAATTTGTTATACAAAGAATTTCAAAATAAACGAGTGGAGGGTAAAATTAAAATTTTAATATATTTCAAACTTCAGTGTATTATATTGATCAAGCAATATAATTCAATTCAGTATTTAAATTTCAGTGCATACCAAACAGATTTCAAATGAATCAATTGAACATTTAGCACTTAAATTTCAGTATTCAGTTTCAGTGTTTAATTTTCAGTTTTATCAAACAACACCTAACTTTTACTATTTTTTACATCCAAATTTAAATTTGGATAAAAAAATCTTAAATTTTTTTTTCCAATGCTATTTTAAACTTATACCAAATCAAGAGAAACTTAAATTTTTACCCAAATTATGGGAGACTTAAATCTTTACCATTTTTACTAATGGTTAGATTTTATTTTCTTTTAAAGATCTAATTGTCATATTTTATCCTCTTTTAAATTTGGATTTCTCTTCTTTTAAATTTAAATTTCTTAATTGGAGAGATCTATATCAAATCAAGTTTTTTACTATTTTCTTTACTCAAATTTGAGTAAAAGTTTGATTTTTCATATGAGATAGTTTTAAAAAAGTACAACAATGACCCAAATCGTTTAAATCCGACGATTTGTATTACGATTTGTTTAATCTTTTAATCATGATTACTCATTTAAAGTTTAACTTTTAACCACAGTAATTCGTGTAATTTTTAACTACAATAACTCATTTAACTTTTAATCATAATAATTCAATTGAATTTTTTAATCATTGTAACTCATTTAAATTTTAATTTTTTAACCCTAATAAAAAGTGAAAACGAGACACATGAGTTAAAAATGTAAGGAGAATTATACCCAGATCACTTAATCACTCAGACTTCTTGATATTGAAAATATTATACACATACCCCTAAAAATTTACGCCGTAACAATTAGACTTCTACAATCAATGTCCGTTAGTATATCTATTAATAAATTATACTCAGACCCCTTAAAATTTGTCGACGTATAATATTTAAACCCCTCAAATTTAAAATTGTTATACTTAGACAAAAAATATTCTAATTAAAGATATAATATCAAATATTTTAAAATTTATAACTAAAATTCATGTTATGTTATATCATTTATTAAAATAAAATTAAAAATAAAAATCAAATTTTTTGTTAAAAAATCATAATTATGATACAATTATACTATCTATTAGAATAAAATAAAAAAATCAAATAAGGGGTATAAGTCATTCATAATAGAACATGAATTTTACAACCAATATTTATGTTTAATTATAACATTTATTGAAATAAAATTAAAAATTAAAATCTAATTTAAAAAAAAATCATAATTAGTATAAAATTATACTATCTATTGAAATAAAACTAAAACATAAACAATGGGTCAAACTATAATAGGCACAATATCTTCTGACTTTAATTGCGATAATTTGATAGTTTAATTTGATCGTTTAAACGACCAAATTAAATACAATATATATTATAATTATATACTAATTATGATTTTTTTTAAAAAAAATTAAATTTTTATTTTTGATTTTAGTTCAATAAAGGTTATAATATAACATGAATTTTAGTTGTAAAATTTAAAATTTAAAATATTTAATATTCTATTTTTAACTGAAGTATTTTTTATTTAAGTATAATATTTTAAACTTGATGAATCTAAGTATTACACACTTATAAATTTTAAGGGTTTTAAGTGTAATTTATTAACGAATATACTAGGACATTGACGACATGAGTCGAAGTGTTATATGCATACAAATTTTCGATGATCTATATATAATATTTTAAATATTAAAAAATTTGAGTGTTTAAGTGACGAGCTTCAAAAAATTTAAATATAATTATCCCTAAAATTTATTGGAGGAATAAGGAAAAAGGCTGCCCCGTCCTTAGAGTAGAACTTTATTTAAGCAAAAGCACTTGCATGCTCACCGCCCCAAGTGGCCTCATTTTTCAATATTTTACGATAAATTAACTAAAACTTTGTTTTTCTTATTTTGTCATTATTTCCCTATTCGTATTACGTTTTGCTTATGAGGTGTGTTTGGGTAGTGGATTAAGGTGGGTTAACTTTCATAAGGATAGGATAATAAAGCAGTGGGTCTCTCAAAACTTTTGTTTAGAAAATCAAAATTGAGTTAGGATATAAATTTCGGGTTTATCCTTAACCTGAATGCTACAATGCTTTTTAACCCTGCTTCATGAGTTAAAATTAACCCACATCCACCATGGGTTTCAATCTTAGCCGATGGATTATGAAAAGGTAATGACATATTTACCTACCTTTCTCTCTTGAGAGTTGTCTCTCTTGTTTTGTGAAGGCAACAAAAAGTCTAGACCTCTGTCTCTCGCTCTATGTGCCTCGTATCTCTCCCTATTGATCACTTTGTGAAGACGATAAAGCCCAAGCCTAGCATTCTGCTGGGATGGGTTTGGGTGCCGGAGTGGACCGAATGAAGAAAAAATCTTCACCAGCACCACCCCTAATCTTGACCGTTTATAGTCACCCACACCACCACGATGGTGGATGATTTTAAAACCCTAATTTCTCTGTCTTTCAGATACGATGGTTGATGATTTTAAAACTCTAATTCTCCTTTCTGTCTTTCAGATTTGAGTCATTTTTGTAGAGGTGGTGGTGGTGGCATTTTTGTTGACCTTAATTTTAGAGTGAATAATCTATTTTTGATTGGATCCAGAAAAACATTAGTAAAACTGCGCTTAATTTGACCTGCACCACCTTTCAACCAAAAAATATAAAGCTCAAAACTAGTTCCCCTAAAATTCGATGAGCACTGCAAGATGATAACAACGCAATCATCCAAACGATATTGACATTCTCAAATCAGAATAACCAACTCGGATTTCGGACATTAAAAAGAAAGTGCATGTCTTCAGTTTGATTTTTATTTGGTTTTGTGGAAGAATTTAATGTCAGAAAGCCAATTTTTGCATAAGAAAGAAAAATCTCTCTTCAAATTCCATATGATAGATGCAAAAAGATTCAAATCAACCGCAATTTCAAAAGGAAAAAAAATGAAAATAATAAAAACAAGAACATACGCATTGGTCAGAAATCACAATACCTTAATACCTCTACAGTGAACGGTGGAACAAGACGCCAAAATCGCAACCGATGAATGTGCTCGGCCGGCCGGTGAAGATCGCAAGAATCAATGGAACATATATATTTGTAACTGATCACATTTAATTAACCACTCGAAACAGGTGGATATAAATGGAGGCGAAAGCAATTAATCTGCTGCGAAAGCTCGGAGCAATGGAGCCTTCTCTGAGATCAAGAAAGAACACTGTAATGTGTGAGTTAAAAGCATGAAATCAACCTTCACACAAGACTTTAAAACCCTAATTCGGAAAGGAAATAAATGAAAATTATAAAAAACATGAACATGCATTGTTCTGAAATCATAATACCTTGATACTCCCTAAACGAACGAAGAAGACGCCGTAATCGAAACCGATGGACTGCCGATGAAGATCACAAGAATCAATGCAACAACTTCATATTTATTTGTAACTCACATTAAATTAACCACTCGAAACAGGTGGAGATAAATGGAGGCGAAAGCTATTCCTCTGCTCCGAGGAATGGAGCCTTCTCTTCTCTGAGATCCAGAAAGAACACAGCAATGTATGTGAATAATGTAGGTTGAGGTATTGTTTACAGGTGAATTCTGACAAGCTTCTGAAATCTAGCGATTTCTATAAACGAACTCGTTCAATTTTCTATGAATACTCCACTCACATACTCACACATTCTCTGTCCAAATGTCTCTCTCTCTCTCTCTCTCTCTCTCAGGTAGTGAGATCTGGTGCTCTTCGCCAGATTTATATAGGCAGGAAAGAGGAGGAGGAATCACAGACCCGGCCTGAAAGATTCTACTCACGTGGACAATGAAGCTTGCACAAAAAATCGTCACTTTTGAATCTTAATTTTCTCGGACTTAAGTGCCCTTATATTTTAACTTATATCCCTACAAGTCCTCTCAACCGCACAAATTTTTGTCCCAGCCGATCCCGATTTGCTGATGAATAGTTGTACTCACTAATAAGCCCACATACAAAAGATTTCCAGGAGTAAAAGTGATAATTGAATCCTCTCGTGTTTCTTTTGGATCTTGACCGATGTTTAAGTACATCGTGGGTTGTTTTCGTACGTAATACAATATTTTTTTAGATATATAATACAATTGAGATAGATTTATTTTATAAGATATTTTGAGTCACAATTCATTTTGAAACTCTTATTTATATCGTTCTCATTACTATATAATATGGTAAATTATATAACATCTATAAATACTAAATCAGTTATTATTTATCATACATTTGTATTTGATTTTTTATTATCTAAAATAATATATAATTATAAATTTATATACGTATAGTCAACTAATATATATTTTATATTTGTACTACATGTTTCTAAGTTAATTAATTTGAGGTTAGTAATATTGCAATTTGATGTTATATATTTTGATGATTTGGATCTTCAATCCATACCCACCTTATTTGGGATCGATATACTCATATCGTAGGTTGTCATAGAATTTAGTGAATTTTGATAACTATAATTTTTTTTTTTTTTGGGAAGGGAAGAAAGACTTAAACCTTTGACCTTAAGAAGACAAAATCTTCATAAAGTAAGGAGTACCATTACAATCTTGACTTAGTCTTTCTATCCACATAACCCATTAATGAAAAATCTAGGGCTATTTTTTATTTTCTCTCAACTGAACCGACCACCCATAAATCTAAATAAGTAAACAATTCACTATATTTATATATTAGAAAAATCACTAGGATTCATACTATACCAATTTAGCTAATGGAAAAAATAAAATTAAAATCAAAAGCTTTTTATTACAATACTAGTTAAACAAGTTTGCAATATCGAAATTGAGTTATTCGTTTTGTATATTAACTTTACTCCATTATTATTCATATTATTAAGCCGTATCATTTTTTTCATTTATGTCTAAAGCGGTCAACCATGACCTATTAATTCTATGTTTGGATCCTGTCAACATCTCTCATTGAAAATTAACCACCTTGGAATTGATTTGGAAGATCGGTTGGACTGGATTTATTTGACAAATGTGTAATGAAAATGGGCATTTTAGTCATCCGAAAATACTTGGTCATTAAGAACTTTGTTGGTTTGCTTAACAAACGGAAGGGGTACATTAGTCAATTCGAGAGCTGAACCATTCGCCAAATGTGCGGTTGCATGCAAGAAAGGTCCATGGAGGCAACACCTCTCGCCACCCATGTGGAGTGCCTTCCACCGCCTGTTTTAGTTCCAGCAGAAGGAAAGTGGAAAGTGGAAAGTGGAAAGTGGAAGTTTTGGTCACCGTTACAATTGAATTGAGTTTTGTGAATTTGAACTCGAATTTGTCTATCTTATTTTTATAAATGAATTTAAAAATTTGTTCAAACTCGACTTATTTAGAACTTGAGTTGAACCTAAATTTAGGCCGAATTCGAGTAGTTCGATTATTTTATATATAAATAAATTGAATTTTACGAGCTTAAGTCGATTTTTTTTAAACTTATTTTTCTAAATAAGTCTAAAAAATTATTCAAACTCAACTTATTTAAAACGTGAATCAAGTTCAACCTGACTTTTATTTAAATCAAACCCGAATAACTCCTCTCAATTAACATTCCTACTCCCACCCGGACAGGTGCTTTCTATAAATGGTTGCTTTCTTCTGCGGAAGCGGACATTCACGGCAATAAATCCACCATCATTACTCTTTAAGTTCCGCCAAGACGCAATGTTTTTATACTTTTCCCACCAGAAACTCAGCATGTTTTAACGAATAATTCAATAATTACTGTTATTGATTATAAATTTGAATATCATACCAATTCATGTTACCTTCTTCCACAGGACTTAGAAGCGTATAAGACAAAAGATAGGGTAAAATTGTCTTATGACAAGAAAAATCATTCTTCCAAGCTGATCTATAAGAGTATCTTTAACCATGATTCAAATTTTTATTTAAATTTAAATTAATATTTGAGTAAAAAACTTAATTCAATATAAAAGATTCTAATAAATAAACTCAAATTTAAAGAAGGAAATAGATACCCAAATTTAAATAAAAGTAAACCCAAATTTAAAAGGGAGTAAAGATGATCATTAGATTTTTAAAAGATGGTAAAATCTCACAATTAAATATTTGAGTAAAAATTTGACTCTCCCTTGATTTGTGTAAAAAAAAATTTCACTTGATTTAGTATAAGTTTTAGTCAAGGGTTGGAATAAATTTTTTAAACTTTTTTACTCAATTTTAAATTTAAATCTAAATTTGAGTAAATGTTGAAAATGTAATAAGAAGGAGGAATCTCGCTGTGTATTCTAAAAAATATAAGATTTTTTTATTTTGTTTATTTTTTTGAACACACACTTAACACCAACCTCATAAAAGAGGAAGTGTCAAGTGAAGTATTTAAATTAACACACACTCAAAGCTATCCGATGTGGGATAGCCTAGTATTTAAATTACTTTGTTTGTTTAAATATTAAACTTTTTATATTATATTTTAAATATATTATGGTTAATTGCACAGGAAGTCCATAAAGTATAAAATTTGTCTCATTTTAATTCTTAATATTTCAATTGCGTTATTTTGATCCATAAACTATTGAATATATTTTTATGTGGCTCCTCAAATAAAAAAAATTTAAATTATTAATAATTTTTTATCATAAATTTATCACGTGGTACTCAAATATGAGTAAAAAATAATTTAGATAGCTCTTGATCAAAATTTGGATAAATTTTAGTTAAGAGTTATCAAAGTTATTTTTTTACCCATATATTAATTATTATGTGATAATTTTATAATAAAAAATCGTTAGTATTTTAGACACTATCTGTTTAAAGGACCATATAAAAATATATTCAATATTTTAAAGATTAAAATAATATAATTAAAATATTATAGACTAAAATAAAATAAATTTTATACTTTAAAGAGTTTCGGTGTAATTAACCCAATATATTACAAGTATTGTAATATGACTCCTTGGTTATTTTCTGTTTGCTATTTCGTCAAAAATTAATTCATTGGCGTTGATCGAATGAGAAATAAAAACTGAAGGGAGAGTCATTTTAATAATTTTAATACGTGAAGGGTATAATATGAGAAATTTTTGTAACTATTTTAGGGTACACAGTGTAATTCTCCCAAAGTAAAAAAATTGCAAAATAAAAGAAATAAAGGAAAGCTCTGCGAGTGCGAACAGCTACTCTGTAGCGAAGGTTTTGTGACTCGGCGCTGAATCGAACATGGCGAAGCAGCGAGACCGCCGATCCTATCGAGTTGAACCGTCGACTCGCGAAGACCAGCGGATTGACTCAGTAGATTCGAAAGCCAATCGAGACCGTAGGCTCATCACCATCTTCGTCGTCTTCTTCGTGGTCTCTACCGCCATTTCAGTGATAGTATACCGTAGCTTTTACGTTCCTCGTATGGGTACTGACTCTACCATCCTGAATATATCCGATCGAGGACTCGTCAAGACTGATTTGAGCTACCGAGAAGTCCTCACTGTATGTTATGTGCCCTGTTGATTCTGTCGCTTCGGATTCATTTTTGTAGGTTTCGTATAAAAATTTAGTTATTGTTTCGATTTTGTAAGAAATTCAGGAAAATATGAAAGTTTCGGAAAATATTTCTCGGCGGCACTTTACGAATCCTGTATTGGCGTACATAACTCCATGGTATATTTTCATTATTGTCGCATTCTTATGTTAGTTTTTTGAAATATACAGACGTGTTTTGAAAAGCAAATTTCTGTTTTTTTGGGGGGTTGTTTTTCATAATTCCAACAGCTAGTAATTGATCAATAAAATCTATGCGCTTTGACGCATTTATCATAGAAAGCTTCTTTTTTCTTTTTGTTTTTTCGTTTTTATGAAGGAATTCTAGAGGCTATGAACTGGCGAAGAGATTCAACTCAAAGCTGACACATATATCTCCTGTGTGGTATGACCTGAAGAGGTATGTATCATATATGATTACTACTTTGACTAAGCCCTGAATTAAATTTCATCAAGAGCGTTTGGTCAAGCCCTCAAGTTTAGGGGAATGTTTTGAGCTTTTGTGGTTTCTGGAATTTTCCAATCCTTCTGGTTATAGTTATTGCTAATAAAGTTATGAAATGGGTAATCGGAAACTGTGATTTTAGCCACCAAGCATCTTCCATTTTTAGGGTCGAATTTTATCAGAAATTAACTTTATGGGCTTAGTTGTTTGTATCGTGGCCAGTCTGAATGATCAACTTTTTCTGGAGATATGATTGAAGCATCAGCAGTGCATAGTGACACTCTAGAACGTAGAAACCTCCGTATGTATTTGCGGAAAATTATGCTAAAGTGAAAATGAAAGAAATATAGAATTGCGTATAGCATGGCTGCTTTTGCTGATAAACATCATCAGATTTATTTGTCTTCTTATCACAGCGAAGGGACCAAGTTAGTTCTTGAGGGAAGGCATAATGCTGATACTGGATGGATTTCAGAGCTTAGAATGAAAGGAGATGCCCAGGTATCAACAACTTGCGTTATGTGAACAGGCATATGTCTAGATGTGATACTTATACTTGACTGCATAATAGGAATATGAAAGAGAACTTTTACCAGGCCGTTTGTTCAGAGAATAACTTCGTTGTATAGGTTTATTGTTAATTCTTTGAAGGTAGACTAGGAAATCAAAGCCAAGGAGAAAATATGATGAACCAATAAACATGGATTAAAAAAATAATTAAAGAGGCATTCTTGTTCTTTCATAACAACAGATGCGTAGGATAGGACAAGTAGATAACTCACATTGAACACATTGGCTGCAAAGTTCTTCGAATTCCGTTTACTGCATTCAAATTTTTTCACAATATTCATATAATGGCATTAGTTTTGTTTTTATTCATTTGGGGATTATACTCGTTTACTTCACGAAGTATTTTTACAGCTGAATGATTCGTTGGTGCTCGTATTTTTCTAGGTTTATAACCAAAGATTTTTTTGTTTGACAAGTGATTGATATATTTACTTTTAGTCATGCAAAAGAATCCATAGTTCCATGAAGTTTGGATCTGATGTTGTTTTTTTAAATATAAAGGTTTTGCCTAGAGTTGTTCTGGAAGCAATTCCTGTGGACCTGCTTAGAAAGAGGAAGCAGAGGGATAAAGCAATTAACCTCATAATAGCAGAATGCAAGTAAGCCTATGTTCTTGTTTGCTTCAGATATTCTCTTTAAGAGTGCAAGTAGCCATAATTTTATGGGGAAGGTTTATTATTGCATCTTGGACTTAAATCCGAACCTAACTCCAACCATCCATAGGTGGGTCCAATTCTGATTAGAATAGCTGACCTCAAGCATGCAGATGTCTTGGGATATATTTGTTGTACCAAAAGCAAAACAGAAAGATTGTATAATCTATAAAGGGAAAAATTTCTCTCAAAAAGCAATCTCATTAATCATGTGCAACACCTGAAAAGTATTTAGCATGCCCCAGATTTGTTAGTACTTTGAGTGTAGTAATATATGGGTAGAGTCCCTCTGCAGATTTCACTAACCCAGTATATCGAGCTATTAGCATACAACATTTGAGTACTCCCATCCCATGAGAGTTCCATGCTACTTGCCAGGCTCTGCAAGAAATGTTATCTGCATTGTTCGCTTGGATAAATTATATATTATTGATTGACACAAGTAACTTGCTGTGACTCAGTGACTGAGCATTTAGGATTCAGTCATTTGGAAAATTATTATGTAGGGAAATGGAATATGATGGTATTGTGCTTGAATCTTGGTCAAGATGGGCAGCTTATGGTGTCTTGCACGATCCAGACATGCGGCAGATGGTAAAATAAGTACTTCTGTAATGCTTCTATTTCTTTTGCTTGACATTGTTCAATGTTCTTTTGTTTTTTCACTTTGAATGTAAGCAATGAAAGTTCTACATATTTACAAGTTAAATACTGAATAACTTAGCATTTAGCACTTACATTTGTTTTGGGATGAACTAGTATTCTTACTATGAATGATGATCCCTTTCTCACTTTGAAAGCCTAGGCACTTCAGTTCATACAGCAACTTGGGCAAGCCATGCATTCTGTGATCTTAGATCGGAATAGCGAGAAAAGTTTGCAGTTAGTATATGTAATAGGTCCACCACACTCAGAGAACCTCCAGGAGTATGATTTTGGGCCAGAAGATCTTCGGAGCTTGAGCAATGCTGTAGATGGTTACTCTCTTATGACTTATGACTTCTCAGGCCCTAAGAATCCAGGTCCCAATGCACCGCTGAAGTGGATCCACTCCATCATGCAGCTGCTCCTTGGTACCAGCAGCGGTGGGTCTCAGAGCTTGGCCCAAAAGATTTTTGTTGGCATAAATTTCTATGGGAATGATTTTGTCCTTTCGGGAGGTATGTGAATAACAATGATTGGTCAATAACTTGTGCTGATGCTTGGCTTTAATCAAGTTATATATATATCTGATGGTGCTAAGATTCATTGAGAAGAAATGAAATGGCTACTTGAATTTGAGAAGGGGTTGGGATTGGAGACCGCTCTAAGATTACAAGTTATTTTTTATGTCCTATTCTTATTGGGAAATCAAAGCGTCGTGATTCCCTTTGTGGTGAACCCAATAAGAGTGATTAGGGGGCCTACAATTCTGTATTCCCATCTTCATGATTTAAGGTAATCAACCGTTGAAGCTATGTGCACACTATCCACAGGCTATTTTAGGCAAATTCACTTGGTCTTGTTGGCAACTAAAATCTTGTAGACATTTTAATATGGAATGATTAACAATCATGCTTCTTGTTCCAAATTTGAAATGCCTGAATTTTTGGCATAGGTGATCGGACTTGGGGATTGTGATAGAAATTTCTCAATCATTGTGTTTGGGTTTTAAAGTCCAGACTTTCCAACTAGTTGAATTAATACCTACATCTTTCCCGTGAAAACAAATTTGAGCAGTTGTCTTTTCCATTAACTGGTTGGTCTTCTCGGTTTTTCACTTCTACACCCATTTGGTAGGAGTGACAAGTGGGAGGAAGGGAAGCAGAGGGAAAAAAGGGCGTTCCTTTTGATTTTTAATCTCTTGTATCAACCAGGGCATTTAGAAGGATGCAACTGATGTTTGCTTATGATTATAAACTGAAGGCTTAGGTGGTGGACCTATTACTGCAAGGGAGTACCTGTCTTTGTTGGAGCAGCACAGGCCTTTATTGCAGTGGGAGAAGAATAGTGCAGAGCATTTCTTCTTATACTCTGATGATCAACATGTCAAGCATGTGGTATTCTACCCGTCGCTGATGTCAATCGTAATGCGGCTTGAGGAAGCTGGTTCATGGGGTGCTGGCATTCTCAATTTGGGAAATTGGTCAAGGTTTGGATTATTTTTTTAATATCCTGTAATAAAATTTTTACTTATTCCTCTTAATATTTTTTTAGACAATGTAACGTATTTTTGTCTATTTCTTGTTTCTCTACTTTAGCGATGGTAACGAATTTCTGGTCAATGCAATGCAGTTTCGATTAGGTTTTGGACAGTGTATAATAGTGCTATTCAGTTTATTTCTGGTATCATTGTGCACTTCATTTGTTGTTCTTGACTTTTTTCCTTCATTCTCGTAGATGTCGTGGCTGAATAGTTAATTCTTTCTGTTGCAAGAGTTCTTATAATGCTGAGTAAATTATACTTTGCCCCCTGAACTATTATCTTTGTTTTACTTTGTATCTTCAATTATAAATTTTTTTACTTTGCATCATAAAGTATCAATTTTGTTTTATATCATTGTAATAGATAACAACAAATTTGAAAATCTGTCAATTGAGGGAGGAAAATCTCAGAGTTTCTTGTCAAGTGTCTAGAACTATTTTATTTATCTATTTTACAACCAAATGGTTGTTACAAAGAAAAATTTAGGAAGAAAATTTGAAGTTTAGGAAGGCAAAGTTATGGATGAGTATTTTTCTTGATTTTTGATTTGTATATAGTGTAATAGGCACTTGCTTATTGACAATACAGACTATTTACATGAGCATTTACTGTCAAAAAATTGATAATCGTTATTTATTGGAGCGATATGAAATAAAATTAATATTTTAAGGTGTAATATGAAAAATTTTATAATTGAGGGTGTAAAGTGAAATAAAAATAATAATTTTAGGGGTAAAATGTAATTTACCCTATTATGTCTAGTGTCTCAAAAATAGAATACCTTTGTGTGTGTATGCGCATGCAACTCTTAATCTAAATTTATCGTGTCTATCTTAACATTAACAATGATTCTTATATGAAATTTAAAATACTTAAATTATAAATTCAGGATTTAGAACATACATGTATGAGCCATGATACTTGATTTTTGAATTTCTTTTTTGGAAGGACAATGTTTTCATCTTCTTTTTCAAAGTAATAGACGACTCTCAATGGGATAAACCAAATTAGGGTTATGAAGTGGATAGGGGACCTAGCTTGCTATTTGTAATGAAATCTAATGGGCTCTCCTATTACGGGCCACAATTAGATTAAGGCATACACTTAACCGCGTCAACCACATAAATTAAAAGATGTACATAACCCCATCAAAATAGATCACTTAATAATATTGGGCTCATCTCATTGGACTATAAATTCAGTCCGTTTTTCACAAACTAAAATTAACTATCAATTAATGGCTATCCAATATAGAAAAAATTTCAACATTCTCCCACTTGGACAACATTAATTGTAGTCATTTAGAAATAAAATAAAATTATATATATATTTTTGAAAACGAATCTCGGGCTAATCAAAACAAAACTCAATGTGGCTACAATAAAAATAATATGGTAATGAAACAACATCTCAAACACAACCCTGTCCAATAAAACTACTATTTTCGAACTATAGCGGCTTTTACATCTTTTATTGACATAGGATCAATCCATGATTACAAAAAATAATAATTCTATTGACATGGATCAAGATGTGGTAGTGTAGGAAGAAAATAACATCTGAATATGTGATCTGATAAACATATTATTTTCATTGTCAGTCCTCAAAATGATTTCTCTTTAGCAACATCCTTCAACAATAAGTTAGAGAAATTCATTAACTTCAACAATAAGCTAGCATGTCTAAAAATTTAAAATCACAAGATTTTTTCAAATGGTGTAATCAGAGGTATACTCAATTGATAAAACAGTCATACTTAAGACATATACCAACACTTAAGATTTTGTATAAAATGACATGTCATAAATGTCTACACATATAACATAGCAAGAATATTATGCTAATAATAAGAAAAATCATCAAATATTTATTATTCATCTAATAGATGTATTTCAACCATAATGAGTATAAAATATCACATATGAAATTAAATCAACACTAAAATTCTTAATAAATAAAAAACTCTCACTAACTAAGTATATCAAAAGACCCCAAAATACTCATATTGTCAACATATTTTTTAAAAATTACAGGTCTCAGTCCCTTGGTTAAAGGATCAACAAGCATTGATTCTGTATCAATATGTTCAATCACAATGTTACATTTCTTCACAAGATCCCTAACAGAAAGATATTTAATTTTCATATGTTTAGACCCACTAGAATGTTTGTTGTTCTTTGAGAAGAACACATCTGCACTACTATCACAATAAATTGTTAGTGGTCTATAGATAGAATCAACAATCATAAGTCCTAATATAAAATTCCTTAGCTATATAGCTTGTGTTGCAGCTCCATAATAAGCTACAAATTCAGCTTGCATAGTGGAAGAAACTGTGAGAGTTTGTTTAACACTCTTCCATGATATTGCTCTTCCAGCTAACATGAAAATACATCCTGAAGTGAATTTTAAATCATCCTGACACCCAAAAAAATTTGAATCTGAATAACCAATCACCTTAAGAATATTAACTCTCCTATAAACAAGCATGTAATTTTTTGTTCTCTGCAAGTATTTCATAACTTTCTTAGCTGCCACTCAATGATCTAATCCTGATTTGGAAAGATATCTGTCAATAACACTAACTACAAAAGCAATGTCAGGCCTAGTACAAACCTGTGCATACATTAAACTGCCAACAACACTTGCATAAAGTATACTCTTCATTGATTCCTCCTCAAGATCATTCTTGGGGCATTGACTTAAACTGAATTTATCACATTTTACAACAGGTACATCCCCAAACTTACAATTATGCATATTAAATCTTTCAAGCACACGATCTATATATGCCCTTTGAGAAAGTCCCAACAACCCACGACTCCTATCCCGATGAATCTGAATGCCTAATACAAAAGATGCTTCCCCAAGATCTTTTATGTCAAATGTTTTGCACAACACATTGCTTAATCTCATGAAGTAAACACAAATCATTACTTGCAAGCAAAATATCATCAACATAAAGAACAAGCAAAATAAATTTGCTCCCACTGACCTTAAGATATATGCATTGATCCATCTTGTTCTCAACAAAATCAAGAGAATTTATTATCTCATCAAATTTCAAGTATTACTGATGAGAAGCCTGTTTGAGACCATAGATAGACTTCTTCAACTTGCACACTAATTGTTCTTTACCATTCTCCTTAAAACCCTCAGGCTACATTATATAAACTTCTTTACTAAGCTCACCATTCAAAAAAGCTGTCTTCACATCCATCTGATGAAGTTCTAGATCAAAATTAGTCACTAATGACATAATGATCCTAAAAGAATTTTTAGTAGAGACAGGTGAGAAAATTTCATTAAAATCTACACCTTCCCTTTGGTTATACCCTTTTACTACAAATCTAGTTTTAAATCTTTCAATCTTACCTTTAGAGTCCATCTTAGTTTTAAACACCCATTTGCAACTAATGAGCTTACATCCCTCAACAAGTTTCACAAGCTCCCACACTTTATTGTATGCCATAGAATGCATCTCATCTTTCATGACACCTACCCACATATCAGACTGAGGATAAGTAATAGCAACATTGTATGTTATAGGATCAACAATATTACCTATATCATAATCATTTTCCCCAAGGTATACATAATATTCATCAGAAATAGCAGGCCTTCTTGGCCTTGTAGATCTTCTCAAAGAAATTTCTGTAGTAGGTTTTAAAGGCTGATAAGCCTCAATAAGAACAGAAGGTTGAATTGCAAGAATATGAGGATCAACAAATGGAGCAGAAAAATTAATAACAGGAGCAGGTATAATATTCTCTTACATAACAGGTAAAGGAATAGAAATACATTTATCTCGCTCATGCACACTAATAGGTTGTGAGCAACCAATATCAGTAACATTAAGCTCCAAAAATTTTGCTGTTAAGGACTCAACAATTTTAGTACCACGTGTAAGACAATAGAACCGGTATCCTTTAGAATGTTCTGGGTAACATATGAAGAAACAACGAGTAGTTTTAGGATCAATCTTTTTCTCAAAAGGATTATAGATTTTGACTTGAGTAGGACAACCCCAGACTCGAAAATGGTTAAAACTTGGTTTCCTATTGGTCTATAATTCAAAATGTATTTTTGGAATAGATTTGCTAGGAACTTTATTAAGAATGTATGAAGTCGTTTTAATGGTTTCTTCCCAAATATAATCAAGTAAGTTACACCTACTCATCATGCTCCTCATCATGTCTTTAAGGGTGCGATTACGCCTTTCAGCCATACCATTTTGCTCGGGACTACCAGACATAGTATATTGGGCAATAATCCCATAATCTTGCAAGTACTTGACAAACTATTTCAAATACTACCCAGACACGTCATGTTTGCCATAATACTCACCACCACGGTCAGACCTAACAATTTTGATGACTGTCCCTAATTGTTTTTCTACCTCAATTTTAAAAAATTTTAAAATTTTCAAGAGCATCAGATTTTTTATTAATTAAATAAATATATCCATAACGAGAGAAATCATCAATAAATGTAATAAAATATTTATTACCACACAATGTACGTGAGTAAGGTCCACTGATGTCAATGTGAATAATTTCTAAAAGATCTAGACTGCAAGTTGTACTTTTCTTCTTAGTTTTGGTCAATTTACCCCTAATGCAGTCAACACAAGTTTCAAGGTCTCCAAAATCAAGGGGAGGAAGAATATTATTTTTTATTAATCTTTCTACTCTTTCTCTAGAAATGTGATCCAAATGTTTATGTCACAGTTGTGAAGATTTTTCTTTAATGAAAGGTCTCTTAGATACAACATTCATAATATTTAAAAGATTATATTCACTATTGACAGCCAAGCATATACTATATAGACTATCTGATAAAACACAATGATTAACAATTTTAAAATTTAAAGACAATTGAGTTTTATCATTACTAAAATTAAAACAATATCCAATTTTATCAAGCAAGGAAACTGAAATCAAATTCCGTCTAAATGATGGTACATAAAAAATATTTTTTAAAACAAGTTGAAAACCAGTGTCTAAATTCAACCTAACGGTTCCTGTGAACTTAACATGAACTTCATTGTTGTCTCCTACTTTAAGCTTAACTTTCATTTCACTTGGCCTCCGTTTGCTTGTGAATCCCTGCAAAGTCATGACAACATGAACAGAATTCCCACTATCAATCCACCAAAAATTTAATAGGACATTAACAAAATTAGATTCAAAAGCAAACAAAAGCTAGTGAATTACCTTATTCTTTATTCTTCTTTTCTAACCAAAACTTGAATCGAGTGCACTCAGTTTTTTTCTAACCTCATTTCTTGCAAAAGTAACAATTGACATCTTTAATGGCAGCCTTCAGACTTCTCACATTCTGACCAGTACCATCCTTTTGAAATCCCGACCATTTTTTGGAGCATTATGATTAGATTTTCTATTATTTCCCTGATACCGACCTTTGAAACTAAATTTAGGCTAAGAAACAAAACAAGGTAGTTTCACTATTTTCTTTTCTAAGTTTTTCTTCCTTAGAATCACACTTGGAGATAAGATCATTAATTGTCCAAGACTCATTTTGGGTGTTGTAGGCAGTTTTGATTTGACTAAACTCAGGAGGTAAAGAGTTAAGAGTGTGATGAACAATGAAATCATCAGGAATAACAATTTTAAAAGTTTTGAGTTTGGTTTGAACATGTACCATTTTAATGATATATTCCCTAACACCACCTATATTATCATATTTCATACTCGTTAATTCATTCATTAGACCCTCAGCTTCAGTCTTATTGGATACCTTGTATCTTTCTCCTACAGCGGTGAAGAACTCTTTGGCATTCTTGGTTTCAGGCAATCCACTCATAAGGTGTTCAAAGATAAACTTTTTTCATAGCAATCATACTTAACTTATTAGATTTCTCCCACTTTGCATAAAGTTCTTTTTCATCAAGAGAACTCTCAATAGTGGGTTTAGCAGGTTCATTTTTTCAAGGCAAAGTCTATATCAGCAATTTCCAGGACAAACTCAATATTTTACTTCCATCTCTTATAATTAAAATTAGTCAAGACTTCAATATTGACATTATTATTATTCACAGCAAAAAAGACTGTACAAGGCAACGAGAATATAAACAATTAGTAAAATTAGGCAATAAATAAAAAAAATATGCTTTGAACATAATAATACATGTTTTATTAAGAGAGTCCAAATACATCACTACAAACTCCCCTTTGGATAGAGAATGCAATATGCTATAAGTCATCTCTTTTCATGAAACTAACCAATGAGAATGCTTAAGTTTTGAAAAATTTATTCTTTTTAGGCAGATAAACCTTCTAGACTATTGCACCTCTACCACAATATTTCATGACATCTTTAAATTATAATACACAACAACCCCCTTTGGGCAGGTAGTTGTATATTATAATTTAGAGATAATCACGTAACAAAAGCATGAGAAAAAATTATAAATTTCAATGAATAGACCACTTTGGTGGCAACCATCCATCTTCATTCATAGAATTTCCCAAACTAGGGTATTATAATAAATTGCCTATAATTAAATATCATGTGATCAATCAATATGAAGTACTAAATAATATGTATCTTTTTAAATCACTCATTATCAATCGTTGCATTTAGGTCTTAATTCTATTATTACTTTTAAAATTAAGTAATTTAAATTCAAATCTACCAACATTAATAAATAATATGTAGATGACAAATTTTTTTTTTATCATATAAATCATTAAGGGTTAAAATTAGAATTGTATAAACACCCTCCACAAATTATAATAATTCAATCAAAATTAAATCAACATGACCTTATGATATTAACATGAGTCACCCACAAGAAGCAAATATACAAATTATAAAAATTTTAACATATAACATATATATATATATATATATATATATATATATATATATATGATGGCATTTGATTAAAAAATGACATTATGATGGCATTTGATTAGTATAATATATATATATATATATATATATATATATATATATATATATTATACTAATCAAATGCCATCATAATGTCATTTTTTTTTTTAATTTTTATTCTTCTTGGCCGCCGACTTGATACTTTGTATGGCAAAGGGCGGGTTTTTTTTTTTATTGTGACGTACTGCCGCCAAACCATTTAAGAAAAAAAAAAAAACAGTATGCAATAATATTCATGACAATCAATTTGCAAAGAAGAATAAAGAATAATAACAAAAGAAACTTAATGACTTTTCAAACTTCAAAATAAAACATGTGTACTGCTAATTTTTTTTTTGATTAAACATGTGTACTGTCATTGAATTACCAAGAAAATCACACATTGGATTGGTGCCAATTTCTTTCCTCTGACGTATTGGTCGCCAAACCATATCATGGTTTCCATCTTTTTTTTTTTTTTTTTATTCCTCTCCATGTGACCTACTGGCCGCCCATCCAACATGCTTTCACACCTTTTTTTTTTAATTGTCTATAGCTATTAATTTTCAAGAAACAGGCATATTATATTCAAAAAAAAAATTCAATAAATGCCTGTTATTTTTTTTAACGCCTGGATGAGAGCCATGGCTATTGACGAAACACAAAATTAAAAGCTACAACTAAAAAAAAATAAGTATAAAACTGTAATATAATTTTTCTCAAGTTCTAAAATCATATACGATAGACTATGATACCACATGTAAGAAATTTTAATGATTCGTATATGAAATTTAGAACACCTAAATTATAATATTTAAATTCTAAATTCAAGATTTACAACATACTTGTATGAGTCATGATACTCGATTTCTGAATTTCTTTTTTGGAAGGGCAAGGTCTTCATTTCATTCTTCAAAACAATAGGCGGCTTTCAATGAGACAAATCAAATTAGGGTTATGAAGTAGAGAGGGGACCTAACCTACTATTTATAATGAAATCTAATGGGCTCTCCTATTACGGGCTACAATTAAATTAAGGTCAACACTTAACTGCCTCCACTACATCAATTAAAAGATGTACATAAGCCCATCAAAGTAGATCACTTAATAATATTAGACTCATCTCATTGGACCATAAATTCAGCCTGTTTTTCAAAAACTAAAATTAACTATCAACAATCACACCATGTCAAATTCCAGTTTCTACCCGGCGCTTACATTTTGTTTCATTTGATGTATGGAATACATGATACGTCCTATGAACCCTCACACTGATATACAGACTCTGCTAATCACCTGTATCCATTCAATGGTTGCAGCTATTCCTGTGGGTTCACAATTTTTCGAAAGAGCAGCTATTTTTTATGTGGATTCTGAGCATGTAACTTCCACATTGCCCAAGGTCTCTTGCTATCTGTAGGATACATATGAGATTGACCACGAAGATACAAAACACAAAGCCAATTCCATCCGTCAAGATTTACCATATAGCAAATCTACCTTCTCCTTATGATTAATGGTAGGTAAAGCAATACATTTTGGGAACAAGAGACATAACAAAAGCCTGTTCTCTCAACTCTGGAACAGACTTTTGCTCTAGCTCTGTCTAATACTCCAGCTCGAATCCATAGCATTCTTTACGTATTCACCATTCGTTAGTAGTGACCTCATCAGGCATCATTACCACCAGTCATGAATTTTTTTATTCCAGAAGCATGTCATGCTCGTTATGAGTAGCATTGTGAAGAATTCACTCCCCAAATCTACCATAACAAGAATAGTCGACTAGAAAAAAAAACAAGAATAGTCGTTTGGCTCATTGTTCAAGCGAGAATTTGCGATTCGAGTGCCAAAATAAGAAGCTATGCTACACCATAATTTTTCTCTATACGCCATGTGACAGATAACCCGATGACAAATTTCAGAAATTACTAGCAAGTTTCAAGTTTGAGTTCACTAAAATGCGTTTGGGCGGTTTAATCGTGTGTGTGATTTATAAGTGATTATACGCTATCCGATCTGTGATTTTAAAGCTCCACCATGGAAGGGTATTCATGGCAGTACAAGTGTAATGTAGCATGTAGACTAGTACAGAGAGTAAACATCAAAGTTTCCAAAAACTTCTTTCAGACATTTCTCAGCCACACAATCTCAAAATCCCAAATGGAATTAAAAATAAAAGAAAAAGAAAAAGAAAAAAAAGTAACTAGCCTCTCTAAAGCCAACACGATCACTAACCTCTGATTCTTAGTCCCACGTGTTACGTAACAATTGGTCAAAAGCTCATCTCTCCTGTCCTCCCACTCAAGACAAATCAGTAAAGGCATGGTTGCACAGCCATTGAACTCCAAAGCCCAGGCGATTACAGAGAACACAATCTGCCAAAAAGACAATCCATTCTTTATGGTGATTGAGGTCTTTCTATCAATCTTTTGAGAGCACAGAAAAAAACCTGTGGTGATCAAGAAATTATGCTATGGAGGTCCTCAATGCAGTAGGCTTGACACCCATCTCTGTTCTTTCAGACCGGAGAACAAAACCCAGAAAAATTCTTTCAATCCCCACAACTTCTCTTTATAATTTCCCAACTTCTGCTAATTTTAGCACCAACCCATTAAATATATCAAGGAACTATGGTGGTCTAGTGCTTCTTTCCTCTGTGTTTAGTTCTGAATTTGCTAGAGCACTTACATATGAAGAAGTATTAAAGCAATCAGTAGGCACTTTCACTTCTGAGGGCTCCACTGACTTTGACGTCAGTGGGTTTCTTGATAGTGCAATCAATTTTGTAGCGGAGAATCCGGCAGTTATAATCGGTGGCGCCGCCGTTTTGGCGGTGCCGCTAGTCTTATCTCAGTTGCTCAGTAAACCTAAGCCGTGGGGTGTTGAGTCTGCAAAGAGTGCTTATGCTAAATTGGGTGACGATGCCAATGCTCAGTTGCTTGATATAAGAGCACCAGTGGAATTGAAGCAAGTGGGTAGTCCGGATATCCGAGGGTTGAAGAAGAAGCCAGTGTCAGTCTTGTACAAAGGTGAAGATAAATTAGGGTTCTTGAAGAAGCTGTCTTCGAAGTTTAAGGAACCAGAAAGTACCACATTGTTCATTCTAGACAAGTAAGATTTTGAACAAAATTTGTACAATTTGTTCACTATTTAAAAACCCAATTCATCTTTTATTCAGTCTTTATGATTTGTTCAACTCATCTTTGAATATAGCTCAGCCAATTAATCAGAGGAAATTGTTGGTTATCCATTCCTTGGCCCAAGAACATTGTTCAATTAATCAGAATTAGCAGTTTGTTTGATGAATATAGCTCAGCCATTTTAGCCTATCTGAAATTATTGTCTTCAGTTAAATTATGGGATTATAATCGATGGTTGGAATATGCAGCTAAAAAGTAGGATTTAGAGGAATTATGGCATCATGCGATGCTTTGTAGTCTTCCTGAAGGCTTGAGCTTCCTTTTGTGATACAATCATGATGGTTTGAAGCTCATAGTCGTTTAACTATTTGTCTCTGTTGATCTTAACTTGTTTCTCTAAAACCATAGCTTTCTATGGTGATTTTGCACAGTCCCCCCCCCCCCCCTCCCCCTTTGAAAGATTTACTTATAAAATCAATCTCGTGCTGTTGAATTTTGATGAAGCCAGATTTGATGGGAACTCTGAACTGGTAGCGGAGTTGGTCACAGCAAATGGCTTCAAAGCTGCTTATGGAATAAAAGATGGCACAGAAGGAAGCCGAGGATGGATGGTTGTTGCCAATTTCATAATTCCTAGTTTATCTCTTCACTTTTTGAGTTTCCAGGTCCAATTTACCTTTAAATCATACATTAAGTGTACCCGAAACTTATTGATATATCCTAATCCAAGCAGAATAGCGGTCTTCCATGGATACTACCAAGCAAAACATTCAGTCTTGATTTCAGCAATTTGACTGATGTAATTGGTGGTGCCCTTCCTGTATGTTTCTCAACTTTCTCTAAATTACTGCAAATTGTTTATCATATTAACAAGTTAAGAGCTATCATGTGTTCAAATTTTTAAGTGGCAATGCAGCTAATCATTGTTATGTGGTTTTTGGGAAGTTATGATTTTCTGGAATATTTTAATGGCATTAGTTTAATGTTTGCGATACAATTTTACCTGGCAGGAGGATTCTGATGCTGTATCTGTTACTCTTGGTATTGCCGCAACCACTGGATTAGGTTTATTAGCATTTTCAGAGGTTTGGCTGCTGAGTTCATTGCTTAAATCGGTGAGCATGGCTCTGTGAGAACTTTAACATTGATGTTTTTGCTGCATCTTGTCAGGTAGAAACAATCCTGCAGCTCTTAGGCTCAGCAGCGCTTGTTCAATTTGTCAGCACAAAACTCCTGTTTGCTGAGGTATTTTTATAAATTTGCAAAACCATGATGTACTCTTGTCCCAAAATGACGTGAATAATTGCATTTTGTGGCTGTTAAGGATGACACATGGTTGGTCTCCTTGAAACCATTTAGTGTGGATCACCCCTTGACGAAATTATGATACCAATGCATGTCAAAATGACAAACCTCTTTAACACCCCATGAACTCTCATGCAATAAGTATCGAGATCAGTGTAGTACTACTACCCATAACCAAGGATATTCATGGTATAAGCATTAGGATGATTAAATTATGTATGATCGTCAGCTCTGACTTATATTTATTTTTAAATTGCTTTATATAGCTTTGGAAAAGGTAGAATATCATTGTCAGGGAGGATTATACCTCCCACTATATACGATTTCATTAAAAATAGTTGCTGCCTTGTCTATATCTCAACCATTAAATTAAGAGTACTTGATTATCTATAATTCTGAGATCAGAGCAATGAGACTACATTGAGGTTGTACTAAAATGCTTGGGCTCATACCGCAATGTTGTGGTTTTAAAATATGAGGAACATTTCGGTCTTGACCTGATCTATCTCTTCCAGCACCATATGTTAGTGGGAACCAAATTAGATCAGACCGACCACCTTTTATTCTATTCATATCCTTCAGCTCACATTCAGATTCACTTTCCATAATCAAAACTTTTGAGATCCAGTATTTTAGATTCCAAATGTGACCCTGCTAAGTTACTTTTTGATGATAAATAGATATATTTGTTGTGAAAGTAGCAGTGAAACTGAGCTTCCTTAACCTCCCGGGGTAAATCATTTGCCTTCGTTAGTACAGTGTGAGTTCAGTTCAACTTAATTTCACTTAATTTACATACAGACGACATTGAATGCCATAGTTTGGGGCTCCGGTTTTTTCTTGAACTTTCTAGAATTGCAACCTTCATGTTCACTTATTTTCACCTCTTTCCCTGACAGGATAGAAAGCAAACTCTACAAGAAATTGATGGATTCTTGACCACTAAGGTTGCCCCTAAAGAACTTGTAGATGACATAAAGGTACATTGCATTTGTGTGAATGCTTATCGCATATCAAAATGTTACTATCTGATAAGTCCATTTCTTCAAATGCATCTTTTGCGAAAGCTTTGAACTTTACAATTTTAGATTAAATGTATTGCTTACAATTTGTGGATTTAACTTTTCTTTCCTCTTCTGACCTGGGAAACTCAGCAAATTGGAATGGCTCTTCTACCATCACCTGTAACTAGCAAAGCTCTTCCTGCACCTGTGGAGGAAAGCCCTCCTGCCTCTGATAGTGCTGTACAGAAAGCTGAAGCAAACGTAGAAACAGCTGCAGAACCTGCACCGGAAATCAACTCAGTCCCAAAAACAGAAGTTATAGCAAAATCAATTCATGGATTTCCAGGATCACTGTCTCCATATCCTAATGTAATTCGTAGTCATTGCTCTATATCTCCTTTAATTTTTTTGCATAGTTTACAAGCTCAAGATCTACTTACGACTGGCTTATATCTTCTTGCTTCTTTTTGATGGTGCATCGCTATCTATTCAATAGACTAAATGTTGTCAAATGGACGATTATTAGAGCAAACAAGAAAAGCCCGAGTTTATGTGGAAAAGCGAAGAAAAAATGTTTAGATTTAAGAAACTATCACTGGCAATACCATCACCCTGAACTTTATCTCTTTGCACTTGGGTATTATCTTTTTGTATATAATCTCATAGGTATTTATTTACCTCTTTCCTTTGTGGTTGCAGTATCCAGATTTGAAGCCTCCAACATCTCCTACCCCTTCACAGCCATAGAGAGTTGGAATTGCAAAATTGTAATCATTTTGTATAGTTCTACAACCGAAAACGATCATGGCAGGAAATTCTGAAACTATGTTATGAGTTTTGCAGTATATGCCGTTATTATGTAAGAATTTTTTAGCTTAGATAACTTGCACTTGAAAGACAGGTTGCAATATGTGTATGCTCTTCTCATGTGTATTTTTGGGCTTATATGAGTTACACTTGGAAGACACATCCAAAATGTCATGAGTTAAATAATTTATAGTTTGTCGTGTTTTTCATGCTTTGTGTCGAATATGCATAATGGTGTGTTGTAATGGAATGAAAACGAGTAAATATTGAGTGTAACGGTTATATTGCGTCAGCATTGTCACATATAATAGTTCAATGTTTAATAAACGAGTGGATAAGGTGACCCTACATGAATGGTTACTATCTTACATAGAGAGGTATTTTTTTGAATGAATGGGGTTTACTTTTTCTATTTAGTGACATTATTGGACGGTTACCCTATGTGATAATGTTGACATAGTGTAAACATTATATTCAACATTTAAGGAGCAGACGGTTACAGGTGCCACTGTACACCGATGCACACCGAATGCCAAATGTTTAATTTGTTCTATTTTTATTTTTCCTTCCAACCAGTTTCAAAATAATGTATAATGCTTTTCATCTTAGAGGTATTTGTATCTATATTTGGCATGCAATTGGAATGGGTCAATTTGAACTCAATCTGAGATTAACATGGAATATTTTGTACTTGGGATACGTTTTTTGGCACTACGGTTGGTTTCCGACAAAAAAATTCAAACTAGTTAAATTCGGGGTGTCCTTTGAACGGGTCTCGGGACATAACCCCAACCCAACCAATATTCATGAACTCAAGTTTGACCTGAGTTAAACCCGAGTCAACCTAAATTGTAGATTTCAATTGAAATTAAAACCCAAATTTCATCCATAGTTGAATAATCCGAGTATCAAAATCTAAATTGATCTGATTTCAATTCAAATTGTATAACTTGTGTTAGTAAATTTTAATCATGGACAATACTCGGGCTGGTCCAGAGACTGATGCGGACAGACTACTCGGGCTTTGACTGGTCAACATATAAAACTTGGGCCAACCCAAGTTTTTTATGTGTAGGTACATTTTTTTTAGATTTATTTAAGAAGAAAATGTATGGATAAATATTTGGGTTTTTTGGAAATTGGTACACTTAATTAGACTTATTTGACAAAAAGTACATATAATAAAATGTGAGTTAAAAAGACATAAATGCCTATTTTAAGGTCATTTAATTCAAAATCTATTATCTTTAATGCACTTTAGTTCATGTGTGTTTGTTAATATATATAAATACGTATTTAATGCACTTTAAGTCATGTGTATTTGTTAATACATATATATATGTTGTTAAATTTCTTATTTAAATTTTGAATTATCTTTAATGGACCTTGATTCATGCATATTTTTTTTTAAAAGTAATTTTGTTTTCAAATTATATTTAATATGCACCTTGATTCAAGCGTTTGTTTTTTTTTTTGAAAAATAATTTTATTTTCAAATTAATTTAATATCCGAATAATGTAATAGTATAATAATAACAGTATAACAAAAACACTGTAACAAAGACACTGTAACAAAAACAGTGTTCAGTAGTTTTTTATATATGATAACAAATTCAAAACGAAGATTAACTATTTTGAATGAAATTATATGAAACTATATGTTTGACAAAATGTAATAGTACAATATTTTGTGTAAATAACTTGTTACACTATTATTGTTATACTGTTACACTTTTATTATTACACTGTTATTGTTACATTGTTACACTTTTATTGTTACACTGATATTATTACACTATTTGGATATTAAATTAATTTAAAAATAAAACCGGTTTCTAAAAAAAATGCATGAATCAAGGTACATTAAAAAATAATTTAAAATTTAAATAAGAGATTTAATAACAAATATATACATACATACATACATAAGTATATATATATATATATATATATATATATATATATATATATATATATATATTAAAATTCTCCTATAAAACTAGGAGATCTTTAATGAACTACTTTCCAAAGAAAAGTGGTGCATTAAATACACATGAATTAATGGAGGACAAAAATGTCACAATAAAAATAGATAAATTCAAATTATGTACTTAGATACAAATAAGTATCAAAATTAACTACTTAAAAACCCTATATTTTATAGGGTGTACTTTTTACCAAATAAGTCTAATTTGTTGTACCACTTTACAATGATCCTTCTATATGGACTTGTTTGGACTTAAGTCCGTCAAGAAAATTTATTTGTTATGAAATCTGTTTTTTGTCAAGGTGTTTAACTAATATTTAAATTTTTTTTCTCTCATATCTATCTATATCCATATATAGGTTAAGAGTTTGACTAATATTAAAAAAAAAATTTCTCTTATATATATATATATATATATATATATATATATATATATAGAGAGAGAGAGAGAGAGAGAGAGAGAGAGAGAGAGTGACATTAAAAATAAAAAAATAGTAATATTCTAATACAAAAAAAAAGTTATCATTTAGACACAAAAAATAATACATTTAAATACAAAAAAATAGTAACATTTAAACATAAAAAAAATTAAAATATTCAATATTAATATTTTTAAAAAATAATAATAGTAACATGTTCAAAAAAAATATTAACATGTTCAACAAAAATAGTAACATACTTAACAAAAACTGTAACATACTTAACAATAATTATTTCTTTCAAATTCAAACACAAAAAATAGTACCATTAAAATGTAAAAAATAGTAATATTAAAAAAAATAGTAACATTAAATATTAATATTTAAGAAAATAATAGTAGTAATATGCTCAACAAAAACAGTAATATACTCAACCAAAACAGTAACATGAACAATAATATATTCAACAAAAGCAGTAACATGAATAATAACATAATAAAAAAAAATAGTAACATGAATTTGAATTTTACTATTTAAATTTATAGTAATTTTTTTTTTTTTGTATTTGAATATTACTATTTTTTATTTTTAATGTGAACTTAAGTCATTACATATAATTTTAAACATGAATTTAGCCGCTTATAAGTTTCCTTGCAGGACTTATCTTCAAACAAGTATATCTAGGGGGACTCAGTTCCATATAATTTTAAACATGGACTTAACCCCTTATAAGTTTCTTTGCAGGACTTATTTTCAAACAAGTACATTTAGGAGAACTCGCTTTCAATTTTTACCATATTTTATTTTATTAAGTTTAATTTTAATAAAATATCTTCTGATTAAGTATAAAATTCAAATGACATTTGAATTTTTTTACTTACTTACCCTTTCTTAAATTATACATAATTCTTATTATTTTTCTCTCTCCGCTTTCTTTTCTCTCTATCTCTCCATTACTCTCTGACTATTTCTCTCATTTTTTCTCCATCTCTCTCTCTTTCTCCACTATTTTCTCTTTTTGTCTCTTATTGATAATTTATTTTCTTTTCAAATATATAAATATTTGATTTGATTTTTTTATCCCTCTCACTCTCTTTCCCTATTTCTCTCACCATTACATTCTCTCTTTAATTTTTTCTCCCTCTTTATATTAACATTACAATAACACAATTACACTAATTAGACACAATTGTCTTATAATATATCAAATAGTTACTCATTTGTTTTAATAAAACCAAACAGTTACATCAAACAATTACACAAAATTATGACATCAACTCAATTTGTTATTCAGTTGTTTACATAAATCAAAGAGTTGTATTATTTAGTATCATGACATAGTTTATACCAATTATATATACCAAATTTGGTATAATAGTAAACCCTTTTGTCTAATGATAAACTCAATTTGGTGTATATAATTGGAATAATTATGTTGTGATATTAAATCATGTAACTCTTTGGTTTATGTAAACAATTAACTGACAAATTGAGTTAGAGCTGTAATTTTGTATAATTGTTTAGTGTAATTGTTTAATTTATTAGAACACATGAGTAATTATTTTGTGTATTAACAGGGTAATTGTAACTAATTGATTGAGTTTGATGTATTATAGGGTAATTATAAATAATTAGTGTAACTGATGGGTGTAATACATTGTTGTGACGTTAAAATAAAGAGAGAGAGAATAACAAGAGAAAGAGTAACGGTGACATAAAATATGAGAGATGAAAAAATTATATCAAATTTTTATCTATTTGAAAAAAAATAAATTATGAATGAGAGAGAGAGAAAATAGGGGACAAAAAGAGAGAGTAACAGAGATAGATAGATAAAGAGAAATAGATAAGAGAGACTAAGAGAGTAATAGAGTAATAAATAGTCTTTTAGTATTTTTTTAAAAAAATACAATTAGGGTCAAATAAGTTTCTTTAATGTAATTTAGGCCAATTAAGTTCAAATATTTATACCAACTTTCAAATTTCCCAAATATCAAATCTAGGCCCATTTCCTGCCTATAGGCCAACCCTTAAAGGGCCCACCACCAACAGAAAACTAATGAATCTATTACCGAAATACTACACTTTTCAAACAAATTTACTAAAATACAACATTTTTAAATTTATTTACCAAACTACGACACTTTTAAAAAGCAGATTCATTAATCCCGCTTTTGTTAAAAAACGGATTTAACATTACCGCTTTTACATGCACAAAAAGCGTGCTTATTAATCACGCTTTATAAAAAATGTGGTTATCAAACATGCCTTTAGAAAAATATCTTCTTCCCTTCGCCTTCAAATCGCTGCACAACAAAGTCAATTGCTGCAACAAACCCAAATCTTGAAAAATTATATATAAAAAAGAACCCCTAATCCCCAATAGCATCAAATACGATTTTTTCTTGTTTTCTACCTTTGCAAGGGTAGCATCAGCAAGAACACAACATGATAATGTGGACAATGATCACTTATTTACTGATCAAGTTTTGCACTAAAAACCTAAAAAAAAAAGAGAAAAAATTATGATTATAATCGTCCAGAAATATGGCACCTCTGTCAATTGCATCCAAAATTGAACGTTTTTCAATCCTAGCATCTGCAACCTCCAGATTTCAAAAAACAATTGCACAAACTCATACACTGGAGAGAGAGGGGGAGAGAGAAAGAGAGAGATTACTTTCAAGGGTTGGAGGGGATTTGGAGGGAGAGATTTCCTTGGTTGGCTTTGGAACAAGGGCTTTCTCAAATGAGTCATGGTCTGGTGCTTTTTGTTCAGCAGAAGATTCTTTGGGAGGTGTTGTGACTACCAGAAATGCTCCACGTTCAATCCCAACGTCTGTACGCAAAAAAATGAAAAATGCACAGTTAGTAACCACACTTTTTAGAAAGCGTGGGTAATAATCACGCTTTTCAGGTTTAACCCCTAAAAAGTGCTACAGTATTCACCACATTTTTTATTTAAAAGCAGGATTGTTATCTTCGAATTTTAATAAAAGCGACATTATTGAATCTATTTTTTAACAAAAGCGGAATTGTCGACTTTGCTTTTAAAAAATATTGTAGTTTGATAAATAAATTTAAAAATATTGTATTTTACTAAATTTATTTAAAAAGTGCAGTATTTTGTAATAGATTAAGGATAACTCGTGCCTAAAGGCACAGTACAACATAAATCAACCGATTAATTTAGAAAAAAAATTACTTTAATTTGCTTTAATTAAAGAAATTGAAAGCAATATAGCCCTCAAATATTTTTTGGGAACTATTTTGACAAAACTTGCTCTAAAAATAGGAATCCAGAAAAATTTCAACATATTTGAAAAACTGAGAGTCTCTTGAATGCACGATACAATCAAACCTAAAATTTATAGTTCACAATTACACATAACAATAATCATAGTTCACAATCAAAATTCTCCCAAAAATCACCATTCCAAACCCAACTATCAAAACAACCATCAATTCCAATAGTCGACTAATTATGTTCACATCCATTAAATCCTGCTTATGCAAACTACGATAGTCACAAGTCAGGATCAATTATACCATTCATCTAAATGCAAGTGTGAAATGTAATTAATTCAATGTAGATGCCTCAGTCACCGGTTAGTCACTAATATGCTGAAGAACCCCTCACCTTCTTGTGCTAAGCCACAAGCCATGATTCAAAAGCTACAAATAGGAGAGAAGTGGCAAGACCACCCAAAACACAACCCAAGATCAAAACTTTGTACTGTGGAGAATGCTTGGTAATACAGCTCAATATGTAAGTAATGCAGTAAGTCACACATGCCTGCTTTTGACCCCTGAATTTAAGTTATGAACCATTAGAAAACAACAAAAGCAATCAATTTCAACATAACAATAATGTGTACACAAATTTCAGATAGAAATCTCACTGTATCTCAGCTACAGATCCAACAATTGTCCCAAACAACATGGAAGATCCAAATCCTGCAATAAAGAGCTGTCCAATCTCTCCTTTCCCAAAGCCATATGTCGCGTAAAGGTAGTAGAAATATGGACCCTGCAATCAATCACCCAGCTGTTGCCACATAAACATAACTCATCAGAAAAAATAAACATTAATACATCCAACAGGTAATACTTACAATTCATACGATTCTTGTCAGCAGTTCACAAAGCAAGGTCTCAATAATAGGCAGGGAATGCACCATTACATTCTTAAGTTGGCTGTCAAAAACAAATTAATTTACCCTAATCAGGAATATCTACAATGAAAAATGCTTCCCATGGTTTCCTTACAAGCAAATTGATGAAAAGGAAAAGAAAATTAGATTTTGAATTCAACATTTACAGTTTTCCAGTTGCAAACCTTTTCTAAAAAATCCATTAATATCATTACGGTAAATAAAAAGAGTACTTAAACTAACAGAACCTATATAGAACTGTTGCATTAAACACTCATCTAATACCAACAACCCATGGGATCAAAACCAGACCGTGAACCAAACACAGTGTTACTCAGATCACTTCCTACCAGCGACTCCACAAGATAATCAGATCAGAGGACAAAAACAACTAAGTTGCTCAAAGTCTATTGGTAGCTTAGAAAATCTAGTAAGAATACATTCAAGTGCATTTAAAAAATGAAAAAAATTCAATACATTTCTTCTATTTTCTAAGCCCTAGCAGATTAAACTTTTAAGAATCACAAAATCAATGTATTTTTTTTTTACCTCCTACATTTTCTCAGTAACCCCATATAAAACACTCAACCAAAAATAAGAGTGAGATCCCATGATTCCCCAAATATCCATAGCACAAAATTAATAAACAATATCCATAAACTATATTCCACCATCATTAACCAAATTTAAACAAACACTTGACAATATTTCACAAAAGTAACCATCCATAATCTATCGAAATTTCACAAAATTTCAACAATCTAAAAAACTCAGTGTTTTGTGTGCGCGTGTTTGTCTGATGTGTTATATGTGTGTGTGTGTGTGTGTGAGTGTGTTTTGTGTGGTGTGAGTGTGTAGCAAAGAGGAGGAGATGGGTATTTTGGGTGGGTTGGGTTGCGTAGAATAATCCGTGCCTGAAGGAAACAAAAATCACAGTAAATAAATAAAATTAGAAACAAAAATTAGACAAATTAGATACAACTAGAAAAGAAGAGGAAAGGAAAATCCCAAAAATTTCTCCATTTTTCCATAAAAAGTAGTAGTCACAAAAGACCAATGCCCACACATACAGAAAGAACTTTACAATGTTTTTTGAGATTGTGTCGTGGACGAAAGTGCTGACTCACTCTGCCTTCTTTCTATAGACGTTATCTGGAAAAAAAAAGGAGTAAAATTTCAACTCATTGATGCAAAACAACAAACATCTTGTCTTACCTACCATAAACTATATTTAGTGGAAATTATGTTCATCTCAACTAAATGTCACCATGCAAAAGAGGCGAGGGGAGAGAGAGAGAGAGAGACTTTTGAAATAGTCTATTTTTTTATCGGATAATTCAAGTATAGAAAAACCAAATACAAACAAAATGATGCCCAAAAATTCTACTTGGTGCCATGGAAGCAAAAAATTCAAGCAAAAACAATTCTATTTAATTTACACCATGAAATTTCACATCAAATAAAGCTTAATAAAAAAATCACAATCCCTAAATATAGATAGATCCCACAAAATTCAAATAAAATCGAATCGTTGCAAAATTTAAATCAAACCAAACATAAATTTGCATCAAATAAAACCTAATTAGAAAACTCACATCAAATTGAATCTAAAGTAATAAGCACGACTTTCAAGCAATTTGGGCCAACTATATAATTCAAACCAAACACGACAATTCCTAATTCCAGATTACAATAACATAATCCATATTTTGTTGCAACAGGGACATAAGAAGCTCAAAGCCATAATGCAATAAATCCATTTAATTTTTTTCTAATATTTCTTATTCACATAATTTCTCTAAAATTAGACCCTAAAAAATAATATCAACCTATGTATATAGTTTTTGTAATGATACCATCAAAGGTCACTGTTAAGCACATGAAGAACCATGTTAATCCTTGAAATATCATTGCCAGCCAAACATGCAGAGGTATTTCACATTTTTGCGTAATTTTTTCACAAAAGGGAAACAAAATAAAATGACAGAGAAACCCAGATTGCAGTCACTCCACCAGGAACTGCAACATATATTTTTTTTGTTCCTCCACAAGAATACATTAGTAGATGCTCCATAATGATCACACAAATTCTATTTTATACAAGTAAAATCAAAACTTGTGCATTTGGCAGGAAATTAATAAAAAGACATATTCATTCTTTCTAAATTTATTTCATTGTTTACCGAACACATTATATTTGTATTAGATTATGACTTAACTCAAGTAATGGAAAATAGTTCTTAGAGATTAACCAAGTAGATCATCCTCTCAGTAGTCATAAGTACAAAACTATCAAATAATTAATTTATTGTTCTTAACTTTCCCTACATTTTTACCTTCACAGCAAATCTACCGAACATTTCGAGCTTGATGGACCATGTCACAATGATATGAGTGAGAGAGAGTCTGAAAAGATCATTATGCAAAGTTTAGAACAAATCAAAACTGAAATCTTATAACGAATTTACCAAAAACTATTGAATTATTATGAAAGTTGCAATGAATCTTCAAAATGAGAAGCGCTAAACCATAATCGATATAATAACAATGATAAAAACCTCATGCACTAAATATGTCCTTAACAATTGATTTATTAACATGACAGACAAGCATAAAAAAATGCTGCTTAAAAAATAGACCCTTAATAATCTCCTTAAGTAGATAACAATATCCAATCCATATCCAATGTCAGGTTAATCAAATATGCAGGGCTTATTTAAAAAAAAAACTGACAAACCCGCTTATGGAATCCCAATAATAATGAATATTTACATCCTAAAAATTAAAAAAAAAAATCAAAAAATTTGGGTTCTTGGAGTTGCTTTCAAACTCCATTAACAGATCTCCAAAAAAGTTAGAATCAACACACCTTAGGCCATCAACATTGCTTTCTCTTCCTTAAGTACCATCTTACTGTTTGCTTGGATATGATATAACATAGTGTAAAATTGAAAAAATCAAACAAAGTGTAAATCAATTAAAATTTAATGAAAGAGTCAATTAAAATCCAAGAGTAGTGCTATTGTTGGAAATATGTGCAAACTTAAAGAATTAGTATGATGTTTTCCACAATTTAGAAAAAGACGCATAATTCAAATCAATCAAAGCTTCACTTCAACAAATAGTCTTGCTGGAGAAGAGAGAAGGAGACTTACAATGATATTTGAGTTTATTTCCTCTGCTTCCCCTGCAACCAAGTATAGCAACTGAGTTTATAACATTTAAATCAAATATGAGAACTCAAATCTCTTCTTATGCATGTCCTAAGAATGAGTTTAATACTTCGAGTCTAATTTATTGATATTTGCTTAGAAATTTAAAATTTCAATGAGATGTTTTTTCTCGATAATCACGAAATAGAAAAAGAATCATTCTTGAGTAGGACAAAGGCAAACTTTACCATTGATTTCATCAAACTGAAGTTTTTATTTCACATATGTTAGCAGCAAATGAATTAAAAGGGAAGCTTGGAAAAATAGCATTCGTGGATATATAGGGGAGAGGGAGGGGTTTTTTTTTGGGGGGGGGGGGTTGGTGTTGAACATTATGCTTTATGGTCATTTAGAAATGATAATATTCGAAAGGAGACTGGTACATCAGCCACTACTTTGTGTTTTGCTTGTAGCAAAACATAGGACCCAATATTTATAGTAGACGTCATATAATGATTATTACCTTTTATTCTTAATAATTGAAACTTGCTTATTATCACACTTCTTTTTCTGTGGCAAAAAAAGTTATATTACATGTCCACCATAGTATCCTACATGGAATTTCACTTAGGTGCATTGTCTTGGTCACCTAGAAAATAAAATCATTCATCAAATGTTTTACAAATATTTGAAAACAAAAAGGAAATCAAGAAAAAGTTGAAAAATTATTTCCGAAACATTTCGAAAGTAAAAATATTTTGAAACACCTTAAAACATATGAATTTTGATATTTAATCACTGAGTCGTTTCAGTTTCTGTTAGAATATTTTAACTAAAAGAGTATTTTTTATGTGAGAACTCAGTCCCACATCGACTAAACATCCCAAAATACTTGAATATATATATGTACTAATGTTATCTAACATTTGAATCAAAGAGAGGTCTTGAGACTCTCACGTGCGCAGGGGTGGGACTAGTGGAGGAGATACGATACCTTTGTGGGCTAAACCAGTGCCACCTGTGTTAATTCATTGTGACAGCAATACCGCAATAGGTAGAGTACGTAATAAGTACTATAATGAAAAATTCAGATCTGTGAGAAGAAAGCACAGTACTGTGTCTTGCCGATCCGTTAACAAAAGTTCTAGCTAGAGAAAAGATCTGGAGTACATCGAGGGAGATTGGACTCAAACCCAAATCTGATTAAGTTACATATGAGGATATCCAACCTAGGGATTGGAGATCCCAAGAACTAGGTTAATGGGACAAACGAATCATAGAGTGACTTGATTTGTGAAACATGTACCAATGAAATTTATATCATTGTTGGAATTTTGTATTCATTGTCCGAATTTTGTATTCATTGTCCATCCCTATGGTGTAAAATACATGTAATCTCGTAACGAAAATTTGGAGGATGAGATCAATATCTCTTAATGAGTTCTATAGCCCATTTTAGGTGGGATGTCTTAGTTACGAGAGCATCCTTGATAGACTCACCTATATGAGTGTGGAAGACGAGTCGCTTCCTATGAGAATTTGGGCTAATTCTCTAGAGCACTCAAGAAACTGGAATAAAGCATAAGGCCGAAAATGTGCTAGTTTTTGAAGCTTGGTTTTGGACACCTTGAATATCATGTGTGTGATATGGTTCTACGTACCCTCAAGTAGTCATCGTTTAAAGGCTAAGTCCACTTTAACTCTAGTACTAGAACATTGAAGCACTAAGTAAAGGTTTAAAGGCATTTGCACTTTTGCAATGCATAATATTCTATTTATTGCCCGTTTACTTATATAATGTATCTTTTATTAAAATAAGTGGGGGATTATTATAATATTTTAATTAAAAGAGTATTTTTTATGTGGGAACTCAATCCCACATCAACTAAACATACCAAGGTACTTGAGTATATATATGTACTAATGTTATCTAACATTTGAATCAAAGAGAGGTCTTGAGACTCTCACGTGTGCAAGGGTGAGATTAGCAGAGGAGATACGGATTTCAACTATGTTTGTGTGAAGCTTCTGCTTCATTCGATTGTGCAGATATGAGTGAAGTAACAGTGAATAGGCTGGGGCTGTTGTTCCATAGGGACGACACATTACTACGATTGTGCAGATATGAGTGAAGTAACAGTCAATAGGCTGGGGCTGTTGTTCCATAGGGACGACACATTACTACCTTATGCGTTGTGATCATTTCGTAAAGGGGCGCGAATCATTTTAAGAGAGCGACCTATTCCGTATTTCACCCTGTTGTTCCCTTTATTTGCATCAAATTTTTTCCAACAGTTTCTATAGAAATAGAAATGCTTCATCAATTTCAAAATGAAATTTAGATCCTTGATCCGATTTTTTTCTAGAAATGAACCTCACGAAGTTAAGAAATTTGTTTGGCTGTTAAAGTGTGCACACTAACTCTACCATGTTTCTATTATCAGACCTACCTGCCGTGTAACACTCCATAACTTCTACGCCTGTATAGAGAAAAAGAACTCATTCATCTTCGCGGAAATGGATCAGGACAGCTCAAGCAGTGGGACAGAGTCTATGACTACGCATACTACAATGATTCGGGAAATCATAATTTCAACACATGATACCCCAATAAAATAGGTACACAGGATTTCTCTCGGTAATTCCAACAAACACTTTGTGTGTGTCCGCAATGGTGTGTGGGTTTGTTTGTTATGTGTGTGTGGGTCTGTGTTGGGTGTGTGTGCGTGCAATATGTGTGTGGGTGATGAGTGTAGGGGCAAAGAAGAGGTGGGGGTTCTGTTGAGTAGAAGAGGGCAGAGAAGAGGTGGGGGAAGGATGGGTGTGTGAGAGAGAGAGAGGTGAGGCATACCTGAGTGGGGTTTGCAGCGACGGTGGTGCTGACGAAGTGGCGGTGATGGTGGTGGTGCTGGTAAGAAGAAACAGAGGGATAGAGACAAAGAGAGATACAGAGGGTAAGTAGTAACAGAGAGTGGGGAAAAAAAAAAGATGGCCTCTGAAGAAGGCTTACTTGACAGAAGAGAGGGGAAAAAAAACAAAAACGATGTCCGAGGTGGCAGGTGAAGTGACCGAAGCCATCAGACTGGCGAAATGATTGAGTTCATCAGATTTTTGTAAAAAATTGTAGGTAAAACATGATAAATTTAGATGAAAATGAGAGGATCTATAACTGTTAGATAAATTGATTTGTAATCGTTAAATTTATTCGTTGAAGCCACCGTATTTTATATTATTGAATTTTAAATCTAATTGACTTATAGATCCGGCCGGTCGCTGATCACTACTACCACCCTCCGTGCCCATAGGTTGTCGGACGTCAAATCAAAATGAAATGGCGCGAAACTAGTACTAGTCTACTCATGTGTATCAGCTTCAACCAAAGAGACAAAGTATAAAGAAAACTCTCAGAAAATCGATCACTCTCTGTCTCTGTCTCTGCATTTCGTCCAAATTCCATGGCGAGAACCAAACACCTCTTCCAACGGAAACGTAATCGCTCCCAACGCTTATGTCAGAATTTTAAATATGTATATATATTTAAAATTCTGAGTATCCAAATATTTTCTCTCTCTAAAATCACAGCTGCTGCATCTAGTTCTTCGACCTCGGTACTTCTACTTCTACTACTTCTCTCCGATGAATAATTGCAGATTCCGACTAGAAGAGGTACTGGCAATGATCCGCAAAGTGAGTTTAAGCATTTATTTTTTTATTTCATTTGTTTTGTGTGGTGGTGAATTGGTGATGCTGAGGCGTTCTTGAGTGATTTGAAACATTTGTGTTTTTCAGGTTCAGCAGCGGCGCAGAGACGGAGAAAGCAGTACCATCACAGGCGGGGGGACGGGGGGTCTTCGTGAGATTCGGCATTTCCAGAAGACCTGGAAACTTCTCATTCCTGCTGCTCCTTTCATTCGAACTGTAATTTCACTCTTTCTCACTCTCTCCCAACATAAATTCATTGTATAGGCACACATTGGTGCATTTGTGTGGGTCTATTTGTTGAGTAGGAATTTCGTTGAATAGTTCTATGAGATCAGCACTGCATTAGCGCACTCTCTAATCCTGAAGTTGTAAGATTAATATAGGAATTTATCTCGCCAATATCAAAAAATTCGGATAGGGATTGTTGAAATTGAGCAGATATGTATTCAATTACAAAAGCATTTTAGTTTTTGAGACTGTTGGTGTAATGATCTAATGAACATTGTAATAACCAAGTCAATGAAGCCACAAAAATGTTTATGAACCAATATGCACACTCACAAACACACAAGTGTGTGCAGATACATGTTTGTCTGTGTGATCATCTGTAGATAGACCTGAATTTAAAATATGAGAACTGTTAAGAGTATGTTAAAAGATCATAAGTGGAAAGGGAATATAAGGAAGTCGGGAATCACATAGCCGATTCCATGGAGTTGGGCCAGGGCTTGTTGATGTCGTGCAGAGAAGTGAAGTACAGAAGGGTGCATATTGGTTTCTATAAACTTGTGCACTAAATTCAAACATCCCAATGGATTGATGATGCAATGAGTGTTTAACTACTTGGAGACTTAATGTCGATAAATTTAAGCCAAATAGAATGTCATCCAACCTGAGACCTTAAACTTCTTGAATGTTTTGAAGGCTGTTAAATTGCTTTATATATAAACTATTTTGTCTTGTCAAGATGTCAGATGTCATGTTACAAAATTCATGTACCGTTGGTTTGTTTTCTCACATTTCAGACTGCTTATATTTGTTTGTAATGATTCAGCCCACTTCAATAAAAATGCACACTCTCTGTCCCTCTCCCAATTGTATTTATTAAGAGTTATTGTCACAATTCCAGGAGGAAATTCTTGCATGCTCAATTGGTATTTAACACGTGGCTCAACTTTTACACGACATTTCAGAGTTGGGGAATTAAAATTAAATGACTGTCCGATGGACCATTTCCCATATGTTTGCTACTTTGATAAACTTATTAACTTTCGGCATTTCTGAATAGTTATAACAAATTTGTCTTCTACATGTTTGTTGGATTGCTGTGAATTGGTTTCCGTGAAAACTGGATTTGCATCAGAGATCTTCATGTTCTCTTAAAGTATTAAAGTCAGCTCAACTCAACAGATCTTAATGTTAATTTTTTGGGTATATAACTAAGTTCCTTTCTTTTTAAATTTCATATTTTATTCTTGTATTGTAAAGAATGGATACCCCGTGCCTCCCATAGTAGTGCGAATTTTTTTAACCAGAAAGAACTTGAAGAAAGTGCAATATTTAGGATGTAGCCAAGTCTATGTCTAATAAGGATGATGTTGGCCACACACAACTTTAGCAAGTACAACTCTCATAATCAAGTACAAGGCAAACAGAAGCGGAAACGGAAGTTTCGAAGTTCACCATTCTGTGCACATTCCTTTGTAAACATCTCTCTTTGTGGTAACTAATAATTATGCACTTGTATGCATTTGGTTTTATCAGGAGATTTCAACAAGTTTCTGTTTACATTCTTGTAATGTTTTTGCAGGTAAGAGAGATTAGCAACTATTTTGCCCCGGGAAAGACTAGTTGGACAGCTGAAGCTTTAGTAGCTCTCCAGGAGGTATTATCGCTTAGCTCCATTTAATTAGTCGGCTTTTCTGTATGAATGCATGCATCTAAGTAGGCAAGATGATGTGTGCGTATATTCTGGTAGACTGGTGTGCAATAGCGTCATTTTTCATGTTGATTCTCAACCTTTTCATATATTAATTATGCTTACACCTTCCACTCTGTAGAAACTAAGTATGATTTGTTCTATTTCTGTGAAGTTTCAAAACTCACATTCATGTGCATTTTTGAGCACGGTACACTTCCCCATATTGAAACTGGCAACTGATGAAGTTGAATTGCTGTTGAGAAAGACAGTAATTCAATTTGTTCGGTTCTACCATAATCACATCATAAGTAGTTATGAGTTCCTTCTAGGTGGTCACATATAGATACCCAAAATTTCACTTGAATGCATGGTGACATTTTTTTTGATTCAACAGGGTCCTGACTAATTTGGTTGGTGAATCCCGATTTATTATCTTTGATGACTTCAGTGTAGGTTAGATTCTTTTACTTCAAATGCCATAAAAAGCATTATTGCCCATTGATACATAAAGGAACATCCAAATGCACCCCTAACGTGACCTGATAACACATATTAGACAAATTATACTATTTCCCACCCTTATTTGCTTCTCCGTGCCATTTTAAATTTGAAGGAAACACTTCCTTTTACCGTTTTCATAATTATGGGCAGCCCATGTTTCTTCAAACCGGTTCAGATTTTATAGTAGAATTGTTTGGAATTCCAAATAAGTACACATCTACTTGAATTCCGTTTTTCAAATATTTATGGGTGGTTATTTTTTGTAGGCAGCAGAGGACTATTTGGTTCATTTTTTTGAAGATGCAATGCTATGTGCAATTCATGCAAAGCGTGTTACACTTAGTAAGTTTGATTTACCTTTATGCTTCCTTTCCTTTTCTTTGTTGGGGTTTTGGGGCAGGGTTACCGATTGATGAACTTGGTTCAGGTCTTGCCTCCATGTTGTTGTTTTTGCTGCCCCGCTGACATAAAGAGCAAATTTTCATAAGACATAGGTTCTTTAACACTTGAAACTGGGGTATTCAATTATTTGGTGTATATGGCTATGGATGTAGCAAATGAGTGGTACCATAAGCTTGTGGGAACAGTCTGGAGTAACTTTTCGGCATATAGATAGTTATGATTCAATCAGGTCAAATTAAATTCAGACCAAGTTATGACTCAGTTGAATTGAGTTAGGATAGAGAAAAAAAACTTGGGATCTATCCCGACTGTATAGGATTGGTCCCATTTTTTTTTGGGAGATGTATCCCAAACTTTTGGATCTCCGCTTACAATAAACTGGATGTATCCTTTCATTTGCTTTTCTCGGAGCTCAGTGAAAAAGGACTGGAAGCTGGCTCGGCAGCTTGGAGGGAAAGGGCAACCTTGGTGAGGAAAGCAGTTACGCATCGTTGCTGCTGGTTCTAAACCATTTTCAGAACAGGATATACAGGCGTTATTTATGAGCAAATACGTTTCGTGTTGCAATTATCGTATGGCATTAGACAGAAGTCATAACCCCAACTTGTTAAGATATCATCACTAATGCAGGAACCATTTCACAAGCCTGCAGGGTGTGTAAAAGAAGTTCAAATCATCTGTTTCGCTGACCTTACATTCAGGTAGAGGTATTTCTCTTTCACTAAATTGTTATTGTAGGATGCACAAACGTAAATTAATTCTGACACTCGTTTAAAAAAAATAAAATTAGCTGTACACACATAGATAGAAGCAAGCCCACACACACACATGACTAATATTAAAGGAAGAATAATGTTAGAATGACTGAAACAATGAGACCAAAACAAAGATCAAATAATGTGGTATTATTATAATAATTATATTTTTGATTGTATTTTTATTCATTTGATTTTTTAAAATTTACTTACTATGTTAGTTTTAGAAATTGAGCACTATTTTTAGACTCAATTTAATTGCTTGGCATGTCACGGCTGAAAAAGAATCACAATGTGAATGGGCCTGGATTGGAAGTTGATGGTTTCGGACGGGGTTGGATTCCATTGTGCGTTTGCCTCTTTCTACTTTCTAGTGGTTTTGGTTTATATGTCCTGAGATGTGTCTGTGTGCGCACTGCTGAAGGGTTTGGTGTACCGATGCAGGTGGTGGTGTGTGCGCGATCTCATTGGTAACTTTGTTAACTTGTCTGCAGAGGTGTAACATCGTATTACATCATCTTTTCATCTAGAAAGTTTTAATTGTTAAAAGAGGATATGTGATATAAATATTTGGACAAGATTACGGTACCAATTTTTTTTTTTTGATATTATACTTTTAAATTTTATAATTTTTGGTATAAATTTTGTAATTTATTTGCAATAAAATAATTTATAATTGTTTGGGACATGTTACAACTTTTGTGGTAACTTTCAATCAATTTTAGAAAAGTCGTGATTCATTCTAACATTTTTAAGATTGATTACAAATTACTGCAAAAATTATAAAACTATTCTAAAAAATTCATAAAATTTATAACTGAAGAACAATATCAGATAATACCACGAATAGAGTCATCTTCAAAGATGCCTTCGCTCAATAACAGCAGAAGATAAGTAAACCCAGTTTAGACACAAGTCAAGATTATGTCAGCAGCTTTGTAAACAATCTCGGTTAAATTGAAATGGCTTGGGCCATAAGAGGAAGAGGGACGAAGGGTACCACCCATCTTCAGATTTCATCTAAGAATCAAAATTTCTAAAAAATCATATCATGCTTAAAAAATGTAGTTTATAACAGTCAAATATTCTCTTAAATATCTTAATAGATTCTTGGACCATTCATAATGACCGAATAATTACTCTATTAAGACAATATAAATAAAAAAAAATTCTGTCGTGAAAAAAGCAGATAATTTAATTAGAGTGAATTAGTTAAGTTTTTTCACATGGTGAATCATTGTATTTCTTGTGTTATTGAATAGAGGGAAAAAAAGTAATTCATTAAAGAGAGAAAAATAGAGAAAAAAAAGAGCTTGCGATCTCCTTAGGTGGGCTTAAAACCATACAACTCCGTGACAGCAATTGGTCAGGTTCAATATTTTATTCTCTGCAAATCCTACCTGAAGGCTTCAAACACAATACCATGGATGTCTCGATAAGATATAATTATGGGTTCCAAGAAGATAAGATAACAACCTCTTTGCCATTACTCTTCAACCTATTGTCTCACCAAACGGTCAGCTTTCTCAAGCCTACTCTGTTCCAAAAACATTAGTTAGTGTAGCAAAGCCACAGTGACAAAATCATCTAGGGAAGTTATGTTTTGTAGACTTTTACCGTTGGATTTTCAGTAATTAATCCGTGTGTATTGCCACCCTGCAAGTTCAACTTTGGAGCGTATGATATTGGACCTGTTTGAAGTTAGAATAAATAGATAGTTTTTAAAGGTTTTTTAGTAAAATAAGTTTGTTTGGACCTTGACTTTTTTACTAATTTATGTAACAGTTTTTTGGATTCAAAAGGCTTATTTAGACTGATTCAATAAGTTAATTTTTTGAGCTTTCCCCCCCCCTTTTTTTAGAGTTTTGTCGTTGGTATCACACAATTTTTTAGTTTATTATGTTCATAAAATATTATTAGTGACGTAAAAAAATTTAAAATTCATATTTTGAGAACTATTAGGCCAAAAGCCAAAAGCCAAAAAAAGTTAGAAAATCATTTGCACTTTTTTAACTTTTCAGCTTTTTAAAAAATATTCTAAACAGTTTTGAGCGACTTTTTCAATTTTGAATTTTTTGCGAAATTTTGCAAATCGTAATTTTTCACTTAAAAAAGACAACTTCAAATAGGCTCATTGTCAAAAAAGCAAGTTAGTCTAGTGCACGGAATTTCTATTATTGTGGAGAGGTCAAACTTTGGAAGCTATACTACTGTACTGAAAAAAAAGATGGGGTGTTTGGTTGTTATGGAATTAGAATGCAAAGGTGGCTAAAGGATATTGAAAGGGCTTGAGGGTGACCGACAAGGGTTATATTAGATTAGCAATTCTTGTAGGGACCCATTTGGGAAATTAAGGCCATTATAAAAGAAATTCGAGGTGGTACAAAGACTTTAAGAAAATTAGTTCAGACACATTCCGGGACAACCAAATCGAGCAGCACACTGGTTAGTTAATGCTACCATGTCAGGATTGAGTAATACAAAACCACTTTGATATTCAAAAAATCAACACAGACCATTTATCGGAGTTTTTGTTAATGAAAATAACAGATTTATCCTTATATTGACTTTTTTGAAAAATAAAAAATGCACAATCAATATAATTTTAGGACTTTTTTTGGTCAATGTCAGTTCAGAAATGATATTTAAAATTTTAAACTCTACTCATAGGTGTTTTTTTGAACTCTGGAATGTATCTGTGTAAAATTATGAAAACTCAGAGGTAGCAATGTAATTCATCTATTGTTATCTGTGTAGTTTTATGAAAACTCAGGTAGCAAACTAGCAATGTCATTCATCTTTTACTGTTTTTGGCACTTAGACAGAGATAATATGTCTTTACATTCAAATAGGTGCTTAAGTACAACTTAGGCTGCAAGGAAATTTCTTGACCTTATTCATATCAGCATAACACCTACAATTCAACCCACAATTGAGTTTGGTTGTTTGGTAGGACCAGCCGTTTCATCCTCTGTCCCTATCTATTGGCAATGAGAAAAACAAAATGTTCAAAGAGAAGCCCATTGGTTTTATTTCCAAAAAGGGCAAAACTTGACAGTTTTTTCCATTATCTCCTGCAGTTTCCTGTCTTAATCTCTTCTTCTCATTCCTATTGAAAACCACTATGGGTAAAAGTCACCGGAAGCAAACCAGGACCCATAGATCTTGTTGCTATGAAGGTCAGTTTTCCATCATTTTTGTTTAGTTTTCTCTCACTTTCTTTACTTCTTTCTTGTTTCTTTTCTTTTTGGTTCTGTACTTTATGGGATTCTGTTCTTGATATTTTGTAGAGGTAAGTAGCATTGAGTGGGAGTTCATTAACATGACTGAACAAGAAGAAGATCTAATATACAGAATGCACAAGCTTGTTGGAGACAGGTAAAAAGCTCACTGATCTGAATTTTGTGGTAAGTCAACAATGCATGCACTAGCCAGATTAATTTGACGTTTGGTTACTGAGAAAGATTGGTTAGAACATGGTTTCAACTAGTCATTTGAACTTAATTTTTTTACGGAAAATAAGAATTCAAACTGCAGGGGATTGGTTTCAATCAGAGGAAGAAAGAAAATAGAAAAAAGAATGAAAACCTCAACATTCTACTTTTTCACATCAAGATGGTGGCTAGAAAAGTAAGGTATTCAGGCTTGAGTGGAAATGGGACCAGGGGCGGAGCCAGATATTCATTTTAGTGGAGGCAAAAATATAAGAGAAAAACTTAACCCAATGGTATTAAAAAAAAAATCTTTTCGACTCTCTGTTAATGAGGATTGAATTGAGGGTTATTTTCAAATGAAGAATTCTTAAGCTAAAATATGTGAAAAATATTAATGAGGATTCAAGACTTAACTATTATGTGAAAACCAAGAAATCAATATCAATCTAGATAATATTGTCTTTGATCAATATGTATGCACGAGGGTATTTTACATCTGTTTACTTATTTAAAATATGTCTTCGTAGATTAATTAAGGGAGCGAGTGGAACTGCTGACATACCAAAAAATAAAAACAATTGGGGCGCTGTATAAATTTCTAAGAATTTATGGGGGACAACATTCTTTAAAGTGTTGAACCTATAACTCAAAATTCAGTGGGGGCACCCTTGACCTTTCCAATATGAGCATTATCCTCGCATTGCATCGGTTTAATCTGCATTATTGTGTGATATAGTGGCTTCTTTTCTCTTTCAGTCTTTTTTTTTTTCTTCCAGTTATTTTTCTGTTGTAAAAGTATGGATCAAAATTTCGTTTCGGTGTGTTGTTTCGGTCACCTAAGAAACGGAAACGTTTCGACGTGTTTCGGAAACGC